TGATACTTTTAGTTGGAATATTTTTTTCTTACAATTTGCCGTTTACTAGCTTTGTCTTTGAGCTCACCTTAATTTTCCTAGCCGGTAGGTACCCGATGTTTTATCTATAGAAGAGGCCAGACCTGTGGCCGAACAATTCTTCTTTCAGATTATTTAGCATAACATTTGAAGCTTTGAGTTATCTATTCAGGCACACTACGTTTTCAACGTTCAATATTTATAGAAAAAATAATGCTTACACAAAATAAGGAAGGGAATAAGTATTAGAGGCGTGTTTTGACACTACTCAGATGTTTTCGGCCAACTCCTAGCCAGTCAGCCCAGGTTGTTGTGATGTGAAGCTTTGAGGGGAATTAACTATTTAGTGTCCCTGTATATAATTCCTATTAGATCGCATGATGTTTGCTATCGAAACACACATACCACTAATCCGTCCAGCTAACAGGGCTCAGACGCATCCGAATAGTCTAGCTTGTCCCGTCATTGTGTCGCTGATCCCTTTTTCCGTCCGTCGATTTTACGTGAACTCATAATCTCTTTAAACATGAGAGACCATCTGTCTCGATCAACGACTGTACGATTGTACGTGTACAAAATTCATTCTCGTAGTCGACTCACTTAATTCTGTTACTCATCAATGTGATTTAACTATATACGAGGACTAGTGGCATGTGTATTTCGATAGCAAACATCATGCGATCTATTTGGAGTCAGATGCAGGATCACTAAATGTGACGAGCCCGTCGATAACACGATTTATAGACTAGAAACGATCCGTTTATTGATTTGTACAAAGTCATTTTTATCTGAAAGGGAGTTTAACAATTTTAAGAGTTGTCTTTTCTGTCTAACTCTATGAGAAAGATATGCTCAACGAAAGGCTCAAAAACTGACTCTGCATGTATTGAGACTAGCCAAGAAGGATGGTGATTCTAGACCCTGTCTAAGGATATACTAGCGCGAACTTTGAAAGTGGTAAAAATTTTTTCACGTGGTTTAGGAATTCTTCGACTTGCTCTTTTGTAGGGTGTATTATACTGTGATTATCATCCTATCCTGTACATCGAGAACATCTCACCTCGAAACATAAGAAAAAACTTATTTTTATTCGACGGACAATTACCAGTTCGTATTGTACCTATTGCGGACTTAAGTCGTAAATAGGTCTGCAATTTATTATATACTCACAATCTCTAATCCTAGTATTAACCAGGTTAATACTTGATAACAACTAATACTCAGATATTATATTTAATTTAACGAGCACTGTGGTCACTTATATCATGTCCAATAACTCCAGTAAAAGAGGAATTTCACCAACTTCTAAGCCAAATAAAAGATCCAAATCTGTAACCCCTACAACTGACGACTCAGTGCTTGACAATGTCGAACCTTTAACTACTGAAAAATATGTGCATTGTACACAAATGTCCGTATCGTCACCAGATTCTCCATATCGCAGCCCCTCTATCTTTACGTGCAGTATGCCAACGGTAAGACTGGTTGACATACAAGACACTATACCTACGTGCATTGAAAAGTCAGCACAGTCTACTAAACAGTATGTGCTACCAAGGCCTAAGTCTAAAATTTCAAAAACTAAAGAGTCCAATGGTCCACCTCATACGCACCAAAATACTGATAGATATAGTAATGACATCCGACAGCTACAAAACTCTCTATCCGAAATTAACGGCAAACTTGAGCAATTAGCAGCCCTCACTCATATATGGGGCCTTGATACAGACAGAAATCTTGAGCAACTCACTAAAGCTGAGTGTATTTTGGAGTTTGTGGCTGAAGAAGTGACGAAGAGAGTAATGTCCTCCTTCAATGCAGTTGTGTATAACCTCCCCGACCGCACACACCCATCTAAGTTAAGAGATATTTGCCTTAGAGCATGCGGTATGCCGAACGTTAACTGCAAAGTCATCCGCCTTAGAAAAAAGTCAGACAGATCAACTTGCCCCCTCTTGTTTATGTTTGGCTGTTGTAACGATGCTAAGCAGTTTATTGATTTGAGCAAAAACATTAGCTCACTAATTCCATACAAAAATATAAAAGTCACTCCAGACCTTACGCCCTGTCAACGTCGTGTAAGAAGACGCGAAGCGATAGAATTGAATGGGAGTGTTACAGTTAATAATCAGCCAGAGACAGTTTGCAACACAGCAAATAGTTTAAAACACACGAACATTAAGCATGACACCACTCCACATACGGCTGATCACTCTGTTGATCTAGATGAGTCTACAGATCAGAAACCTTTGGATAAGATACGGACCCCAACTGACACCAAAAACCATAACGACATGACTAATCCCAGCTGTTCATTCAGTAATGCACTAAAATGTGAGTCGTGTAACAACACATGTGCAACTAAACCTATACACTTGAAAATTTGTCCTCCTAAAGACATTCCACAAGTAGACTTGAATGAACGTAAGTTCATCTCACAAAGACAACGAAAGAATCCTGCTCCGAAAATAAAGGGTGGGAAGACAAAACTCATGATACCGAATAGGGAAACACGTAAGATTGAACCCAACTGCTCTATAGGTATCCCAAGAACAGTGAACAGGTTCTCCCCGCTGCTATCGTATAACTTGCCTTCAACACCTCCAAGTTGCAAAAAAAAGGGTGGTGGGCTTCAACGTAGCAAGCCTTCTTACACGCAGACTAACGAAAACTACCAGAGAACTGGCCACCCAAATCACCCCCTGAAGCCTAAAACCATAAATAAGAACGGTAATAATAGGTTTCTCACTCCACACCCTACCTACATTCCCCAGGATCGCAACTGTAATTACTCTCAAAAAGAAAACTTCTCATACCCTTTAGTACCGACCCATCACATAACAACGGCTCCCATGTATAACAACAGTCGCAACTCCTCCCAGTTACGCGTAGCAGACCCCTCTCGCGCTAACGTAAATAGCCATAACAGGGGCTACGAGTCTAACCATCAAGACTATTTTGTAAATAACCATACACTTCACAGTAGGCCTGTACAAGATTTTTTTGGAATAAGACCCCTACTGACACCTCTGTTGAAGCATATAGCCCAGGTTATTTCAAACCACATGCAAACCATAAATTTGTTTCCTCCGTACAGTTTCCATCACAGAGTACTCCCACCCTTTCCTCCTGGGTAAACTCCCCAATCAACTTCACCAGCTCATTTGATACATCTCCCAATAAGTTTAACTACCAAAATACCGAGCTGATGAAGAACATCCAATCCCTCACATCAAACTCATCTTACACTCTCGAGGGTTACGACGACTTTATCCGAAATACCCTCACCCATTTTAACTTAGTAGGCCACCTGCTTAATATATGTCTTATCAACGCTCGATCGATCTGCAACAAAAAGACGGATTTAGCCCTGTTTGTATCCATATATCAACCATCAGTTATTATGATATCTGAAGCATGGACTAACAGTAATATTTCCGACCGAAGCATATCTCTAGATAACTATTCCCTATATAGAAGCGATAGATTGAATGGACGAGGCGGAGGATGCCTTATTTACGCTCACTCTAGCCTGAACTCACTGCTATGTGATATGCCTGAACTAAACAAACTGAAGGATTCGGTGTGGATTGTATTAAAGCCGTCGAATTCCGTTACCTTACTGCTCGGCTGTGTTTATCGTCAACCTAACGCATCGATAGATGAAATAGCAGTATTATCGGAGGTATTCACGCTAGCATCATCCCTCTCATTCACAGACAAGCTCATTTGTGGTGACTTCAATATGCCCGAAATTTCTTGGCTGCCAGTCAAAGCGCCGAGACGTTATGAATCATTTATTGAATGTCTAGAGCTTGGACAATGGACTCAGTATGTCGATAGCCCTACCAGGCATCAAAACATCTTAGACTTAGTCTTTACCAGTGGCCTCATCCCCAATACTTTGTATATTGGAAAAAAGTTCCCAGGTAGTGATCATAACATTGTCATATGCAGCCTTAATGTAAAAACCACAACCGATAGAAGTAAAACCGTAACACTTCGTAGAAACTATCGCAAGGTTGATTGGAATAACTTCCACAATTACCTAAGAAGCACTGATTGGAGAACTTTCTTTACCTCAAACAATACCGACACATTAACCAATATATTTTATCACAACATCAAAAGTATCATCAACAACATCGCACCTTTAGAATACTGTAAACCTACGTTCTTTAAAGATCTCTATATACCGGTCAGTACAAGAAGACGTCTTCAAAGACATTGTACTCGATTCCACAACTTAAATGACTTTTCCTCTTTAGTAACGATGACAGAAATACTTGTCCGAACAGAGGCAATAAGTAAACAAAAAGCAGTAGCACAGGAAAAACGTGCAGTTGAACTTAATAATAACTCCTCTGCACTCACCATACTACTCCAAAATAAACTTAAACGCTCTAAATCGAGAGGGAGTATATTCATTAAAGGCAAACAAGTATACGAAGATCCCAAACTTATCACAGAATTATTCAGTGAACATTTTTGTTTCTCACTAACTAACGAAAAACCATTTAGTGATTCAGAACCAACCCCAGTAACTCCCTGTGAAATTACTAATGTAGAATTCAGTGTACAAAATATCTCCAAAGCAATCAGTACATTGAAACACTCCTACACTGATGGACCAGATGGTATTCCATCTAGCATGCTAAAACGTGGAGGTGATGATATGTGTGTTTTGCTTCTCAAACTATTCGCGATATCACTTTCTTCAGCGTGTTACCCTACTGCCTGGAAAACTACACATATCATTCCCAAAATTAAAACAGGACCTGAAGCTAACGTTGAAAATTACCGGCCTATAAACATAACTTCAGTGGTATCCAGAGTGATGGAAAAAGTAGTTAAGGCGGCTGTAGTCCAACATCTATTAACTAACAATCTCTTGTCGACCTCCCAGCATGGATTTCTTAGGTCCAGATCATGCGATACATGCCTAGTAGACTACCTGAATGATATAACTCTGAAACGAGACAACGAACTACTTGTATCAGTCCTATTCTTAGACTTTAAGAAAGCCTTTGATAAGGTCCCACACAAAAGGCTACTCGTCAAACTAAAGTCCTTCGGAATACACAACCCACTGTACTCATGGTTTGCTTCGTTCTTAACAGAACGTTAACAGATGGTAAAGTACAATGACTGTCTCTCGTCCCCTAGACCAATCACCAGTGGAGTCATCCAGGGAAGCGTATTAGGGCCACTTTTGTTTCTTATGTATGTAAACGATATATGTAACACCATAGAATTTGGGAAACCGTACTTATATGCTGATGATCTCAAAATAGTATACAGCTATAAGCCTGAGACACTAAGCGAAAGTGTATCCCAGATCCAAAAGGACCTCAATAACTTAACTATATGGAGTGAAAAATGGCAATTACCATTTAACCTCAACAAGTGCGGGATCATGCACTTTGGAAAGCATCCCTATAAACCGCGACTTCACTTAAATGAATGTATAGTCCAAACACTCGAATCAGTACACGATTTAGGAATTAATTACACAGGAAGCCTAAACTTTGAAGAACATGCCTCCTCTATTATTTCTAAATCTAGACGGCTAATTGGTTTTATAATGAAAAACTTTTTCACAACAGAGGGTAAACTTACTCTCTACAAAATATGTGTACGACCCACCCTCGAATACTGCTCTTTTGTCTTCTCTAATATGAATATCGCAGACAAGATAAGAGTAGAAGATGTTCAAAGACGTTTCACACGTCAACTACTAGGATGTAACTCGAATCTCGATTACACAGACAGATGTAAGCATCTATCTTTAGAACCTTTATGGCACCGTAGGCTAAAACACAATTTAATAATTCTCTACAAAGCGATATATGGGCTCTCCTTTCTAACCTCCTGCCCGACTATCACCCACGACCCAGCCTATAGACTTAGAAACAACGCATATACACTACTTACCGTAAAACACCAAAAACAAATGCGTTGTAAGTTCTTTACAGTACGGTACAGTTTATTGTGGAACAGGCTGCCAATGCCTATCCGTAAGTGTGATACGTTTACCAGATTCAAAAAGCTAATAACCCTATTTCTAGACTCCAAAGAGCTTCAACATTACCTTGAACTCCCGCCCACCGATGAGGCACTTTATTACGGACCGCCTAGTATCTAGAAAGAACAAAATTATAACAAGTTCGACTGTTACTAATCTGAATATAACCAAATCACAGGATATATGGCTTATCCTTTCCTATTATTCATTGTTTATTAATCATGGTTTCATGCTCCTAACCCTAGCTTTCAGTCCCCAAATCTCTACAGGTTAAATGTACATTATTCTTCCTAAAAGTCATGCTTTTTTTTTTCTACTGCAAGTAGACAGATAGCTCAATCTTATGGATGCTGATCTACTAAGGCCGATCATTCAAAGCTCAAAATTTGGCCACAAAGTCTTGTGAGTTTCTCAATGTTTTATTTTTCTCACCCTAAAATCTTTTTCTTTTTTTCTACAATTTTATACCCTCTCATATCTTTTGATTTACTATTAATCCTTACTTCTTTAAACCATTAGTTATTTTCATAGCAGTGTGATATACTATATGGACATCTAACCCATAAAACAGAATTTTTAAATATCTAATTTGCTTGTAACATGGACCTAGTAGAGACAGTGTATTCCAACTATGTGCTTTGATTAAAGCATTAATCATACTTACCACAAACGTAAGAGAGCCTAACATCACAAAAGGAGGGAGGGTGGCGTTACTGACCAGCAAACGTGAAGGTGGGGAGATAACTTTAATCCACCCATGTCTGTAGGGCAGAACATTTTGTTTAATTACGGCTCCTTATGGTTTAGTGGGATGTCACGGACTTAAGGTATTGAAGCTGATTTATCACGCAAAATACCTCATTAAATCGTGTTACGAACGTTGAATTGGTTTCACTTCCTACTCAGAAATCCTATTACAAGCAAACTAGACAATTCGCTAATATACGAAGCCTACTCAAGACCCTATAAAACCTGAAAAAAACAAGTAAAAAAAACGAAAGGGGCTCTAATAGCTTCGATAATAAAAGGAAGATAGCCAGTTGCATATCACAATACTGTTTCTAGCACTATATTTTATTTTATAATCACACATAATCTTATACTCTCAGCTCTTTTCCGAATCGCCTCCATTTGTCAGTTGTATGTCCACTCACACCTTGCTAAAGCTTATTTTCTTTAACCTATTAAAATGCTCTTTCTTAACAAATACCTTAATAAAAGAAAATTAGACTGAGTAATCATACCTTAAACATTCCTACATGAATATTGGCTACTCTGCCTCTCGTGTTTTCTTTTACTTGCTCCCTCTTTCAGCCCCCTTGAGATATGGAACAGGTTACTTCATCCTGCACCATCCTTAAAGCCTTGGATATCCCAAAGGGACATAAGGTTCCGATTTCTAGAAGCTCATACCTTTAATGGACCTATTCTTGACCATCAGTCGCACATTCGCAACGCAACTTTCATGAAGCGCGCCAACTATGGTACTGATTAAAACAATCTACATTCATGTCTTATAAATTTTCAACCCAGCTATGTAATTTAATACAGTGTATATTGTATCATTTGTATCAATTTGATCTTGCCTGTAAACTGGCATGCCTCATGTAACAAACTATTATTTGAGAATAAATTATTATTATTATTAAGGAAGATAACCTTCCCATCTTCACATATGGCGGCTGCAATTCTGGAAGCATTTCGTGCCAACGGAAGTCGAATGCCACCTGGAATCCACATGCACCCGGATGGACCATACGAAGCTAGGACTAAACACAAAGGCAAGTTGGAGCTGACCATTCCACTTGTGAACTGTCTAGACGATAAAAAAACGTGTAAAGGGCAGGGCCTACCACCTCGGCAACCCTCATATAGGTGGGCTACCTGCCTATTCACGTAAGGCTCATACAGACAAACAGGAAGAAATTCACGCGTTCTAAATTGAAGGCCTTAACTGCTTTGAACGCCGCGAGTCTACCAAACAAAATGGATGAACTACGTGAGCTTAGCAATGCTAATAAGGCCCATCTGATAGGAATATCTGAAACCTGGATATCTTATCAGTTCTCGGACCATGAGTTAGCATTGCCTGGGATGTCTTTGTTCCGCAATGATAGAAAATCAGGATATGGGGGCGGAGTAGCTGTTTACATACGTTCTTGCTTGGAGGTGCATCAAGTTCATAACCTCGAGTTTAACAATCTTGAGGAATCTATATGGTGCTCTGCAAGATTGTCAAGTACTTTGAGGTGTCTAGTCGGAGTCATTTACAGGAAGCCAACTGCCGACATCGGGTACGATAGTCGTATGCTGGAAGGACTATCCCGCTCTACTCGTCTCGGTTTCACACACATCCTGATTCTATGGGACTTTAATCTCCCTAGAGTCAACTTCGCGGAACACACGTATACTGTAGGCGACAACTCAATTGAAGCTCGGTTCTTCAACCTCATCGATGACTTGGGATTGTACGAAAATGTGAGGTCGGCAACTCGTTGGAGCAACAGTCAGACGCCAACGCACTTAGACTGTGTATTCACAAACGAAGAATTTCTAGTTGACAACCTCGCAATCCTGGCTCCCCTGGGAAAAAGCGATCATGCCGTCATAGCCTTCAGTTTTGTCAGAAAACTAAGCCAAGATACCCCACCAATAACTTGCGTTGGAATTTTAAACGGTCGAATGTGTCAGCTCTACAGGACTATCTACAATAAATGGATTAGGATGCTCACCCTCAACTCGATTTGGACGGTCATTGGGACTTCTTACTGCACACGCTCTTATGTGCTACAAAGCAGTCAGTTCATCAAACCGTCCCCAAAGGCTACAAGCAACCTACAATCATTAGAAACCGCACTTTTCGCCTGCTAGGCTACAAAAGGCACTGTTGGGCAGAATACAAACGAACTGACAACGACGGAGCGCACAGGCAATATAAACATATCAGGAACATATGCACGAAGGCTATAAGAGAAGATAGGCTTCAGTATCAGACAAAGCTTATGGACAAATCTTCCTGTAATCCTAAAAGCTTATCCCGTTATGCAGCCTCTCTGCGTCAAGCCAAAACTGGAGTTTCCCAACTGCTAGGTCCTAACGGCCCGACCAATAACGATGGCGACGCCGCTAACCTTCTGGCTGAACATTACTCCCAGACATTTCAACCGACCGACACTAACTTTACTGATGACAGTTTCGTTTGCAATTCCACAGGACTTTCCGAAGTGAACTGTTATAACGGGTGTGTGTGACTGCAGGTTTTAGATACGCAGCGTTTATATCGATCGCTTCTGTGACAGTGGACACGTAAACATGTAAGGACGACCTAGTGCCCTGATTGGCCCTGCCTCGCTGTCTGTCCTAGCCAGTTGAGTCAAGAACACAAGTCACAGCCTCGGAGTTATGAATCATTGTATTTCAAACATACTCTATTTATATACCAAGCAAACAAACCACATCGTACCATAAAATAGGAAACAACATTTTGTACAATATTCAACAAGTGAACAAATATCGACCAATAGGAAATGTACATTTAAAGTCCAAGGACACCATTGAAATTAACATGATAATTGTTGGTCTCTTTTTCCGACTATCCTAACATGAACCTAAGCGCTGACGTGGTGTTCCAGAAACTGCAGCACTTTAGATTAGACACTTCTCCTGGCCCGGATATGGTTCATTTGGCCATACTGAGGGAAGCAGCCTCAATCTCGGCAACGCCGCTTAGCGTAATGTTCTCACACTCGCTAAGTCTAGGAAAACTACCGGAAAATTGGAAACTGGCTCATATCATACCAATTTTCAAAGGAGGTCGACGCAGCGAACCTTCAAGTTACCGACCGGTGGCTCTTCTCTCAATAACCTCAAAAATCATGGAGTCCCTGATATGCGGTGGTATAAATGACTATTTACTGTCCTTAAATTTCTTCTCACCCCAACAGTATGGTTTCAGGAAGGGGTACTTTGTAATATCAACCTGCTGACTGCGGTGGACAGATAGACCAGCATCATCGATCACAAGGGGAATGTTGATATCATCTACCTAGATTTCTCAAAAGCTTTTGATAAGGTTAACCATACATGTCTTATCAATAAGCTCAAACGATTGGGTATAAGACCACCTCTAATCGATTGGCTTACTTCATACCTAAAAAATCGACACTTTAAGGTTAGGGTTAATTTCATTTTATCTCAGGCTATGGAGTATCCTGGTGCGGTCCCCCAGGGCTCAGTACTAGGACCTCCTCTCTTCTTGATCTACACAAATGATCTTCCTCAACAGGTAATGTCAGACTTATTACTTTTTGCCGACGACGTGGAACTTTGGAGAGAGATACGCAACCAAGACGATATACAGGCACTTCAGGAGGATCTGACTCGACTTCAAAGTTGGGCAGACGATAATGGACTTGCCTTTAACACTTCAAAGTGTAAAGTAGTCCATCTGCGACATGTCGCAGACTACAGTTGTAACTTAGGTACCTCCTCTCTAATAGTATCCTAAGTCGAAAAAGATTTAGGAGTCCTGGTGCCCCATGATTTAAAGTCTTACGCTGTGACAAAAATGTTTTCCGAGCAAACCTTGCACTGGTAACGTTGAAGCGCATTTTTGGACAGTTTGACGGACGAACTTTCCATACAATCTTCAATAGTTTCATCCGTCCCCATTTAGAGTACGGGAACATAGTATTTTCCCCTCGCTCCAAAAGGCTAAGGACACTGTGGATCGTATCCAACGGCGAGCCACGAAATCACTTCGAGAACTTAAATTTAGACCTTATGAAGAGTGCCTCCAGTCACTTAACCTTTACACATTAGAGTATAGGCGTCTTAGAGATGACCCTCTGATGGCTTACAGTACCCTCAAAATCTCTGGGCATCCTCTCAAACACCTACATAAGCTTAGTCTCAATACTGACCCGAGGGCTAACTCCCATAAATTGGTGACACAACATAGCAGAACAGACTGCAGACACAACTTCTACTCCTTAAGCGTTGTCAAATGCTGGAATTTTCTGCCGGCCGGGCTAGTCCAAGCGACTTCCCAGGAGTCCTTTAAGAGGCAACTTGATCTTTTTTTAAGGACTAAAGATAGTATCGCACTATGATTTATTAATTTTTTTTCCTGTTTTACTGTTGACATACTTAGGTTCCTGCCTGGAGGATTTGGTGATCCCCTGCTACTAGACACGGAAGCCTGTTAAGTGGAAGCTTCTTATATTCCGTCCACAACCATTTGAACCATTTGAACTATTTGAAGGGTTTGTCACTAAAGGCGGCAAAAACAAGAAATTACGCACCAGGCGGTATAGTAACGTGAAGTACTTCTCCAGACATTCTTTACGATGAAGCTAAGAAGTAAAGTATCCGAAGGAACCACATCACACTGATATCACTGCTAGCCAAGGAAAATACTACCATTTCAGTATTTCTAGACAGATGTCTCCCACTCTGTCCTTTCGTACCATATTCTCAATGTTCATTCTTACGTATTATCATTTTACCGCAGTATTTCACGTTCTGTCGGTATTTTCTCCATCATGCTAATGTGGCATTGCGACTTGTGCTGACTCATGTTCGACAGGTTACCCGTTGATAATGACAGTGAATGCTAGTATTACGAGAGACATTTGTCAGTAAGTTTAGAACGAAGATTCGCGACATGGTTTGGTGCCTTTATTTCTAGAAGTATAATTCACTAGTGTGACCTATTTGAGTTGAGACTGATCGAGTCCAGTGGTAAATGTAGTCGTAAACACTCTGAGAGTCGACACAATTCATTGAAATTCCATAGGTAGACACCGGTTGTTAACTGAATACTTCGGTTACAGCTGATTATTTAAGCTAGTTTAGGATGGATTTCACGAAAAGCAAGTGTGTATTAGTGTAGTCTGGTATTCATTTATTTCACAAGGTTCGCTTCAATGGATTCGTACGTGTTATCTCACATAAACGTAATTGGTTTCTCAAAGTACCCATTTACTCGAATGCACTGGTCATAAACAGCCTGTATCACATCCTCATAAGTCTTGCTAATGCTTTCGACAACGATATTCGTGCTTTCCTAAGACATGTGTATCTTGGGTTATCTAATTGAAGTACTGTCAATTAACATGATGTAGCACAACTATTATGTGAGAATACCGAGGTTTTGTTCGTCTCGTTAACATTTAGGTGTGGAGTTAGATTTCTGTAAGCGCAACGACGTATTTTTATTAGGGTTCTTTTTGAGTACCGTTTCTATAATGGTCAGGAAATTCGTCACTGTTCACTGAATCGATTGATTTGTTTTGTGATAGGAGTTCCGGCTTTTATATTGGTTTTTACCACCATTTGCTGTTATTCAGTGTTTAAGTGCAATTTAATAACGTCACCTGCATTCACTCATTCAGGTACGAAATAAGCCCATTAATCAACTTATCTGCCAGAATTATTAACTTATGTAAAATTCCACTTTCGTTTTTCTTAACTGAAAGTCGGGTGTTTGAACCACTTATCCACTGTTACTTCCTAAAATATATTTCTACATCATGCAGCCTTTCCTTGAATCAAGACCCAAGTCCAGATAAATTCACAAATATATTGAGTTTCTGTACCCTTACTAATTCAGGTTGCAAAATAAAAGGTTTTCTGTTGTCCGACCAAGTAAAAAGTCCTGTAATATTTAATATATCTAAGAACGATACACTTTAGTCATATCGTATCAGACTCAAGTGAGAGTATGATGTAAACTAGTACGTGCTTGGTTTGTGGTCGACTTATGATTCTTTGAGTAGAAAGCTAAGAGCGAAATCCTTGTAGTATGAAAACCAACATATGAAGGATTAAAAACACTAAGACAGTGTAGAAAGGGAAACTCATTCAAAGAGCTTTTCGTTTGTGCTTTTATGCTTTTTAAAACCTTACGTGGGAAGCAAAAGTAATCCATTCCTAAAGAGAAAGATGTGACACAAACCACGTATAGGCTCATGTAATAAGCTGCACTTCATACTTGTAAGGACTGGTGGTTCTTACGGACTAAGCTTTCGTGATATTTATATTATCTTTGGTCACTGGATTGTGATGTATATCTTAGGAAATAGAGACCCCAAATATATTTCCAGCCCTTCTCATTTTTAACTAATTCCATGTCGTTATAGTTGAATATTTGAAACTTGGTTTTCACCTAGCAGCAAAGACCTATAACTTGTTACATTTACTCTTGAATACTAGTTTTAGAACAAGTAATTGGTTGCTTAGTGGCGTTCTTTAGTTAACTTCAGGTGATATTAGCAACAATAAATAAACCAAACATTGTTAGCTTTTTCTAAATGTGTTCAAGTAACCAAATCTGGTTTTGAGAAGTAAAGTTGCTTGTGAGTCGCTATTATCTGTGACTATACACAGTCGAACCTTGAGATTGCGTACGATATTTTTACCAAGTGCTTAATATATTTGAGTGATAAAACCTCAGACAAATGCATATAGGGATACTTAACTCTGAAACATAATAGTAAAATAAGTATTTGGAAGAGGCTTCTTTGACTAATTTTACTTCTAACTTCTTTTTTTCAGCATGTTAGTAGACTTCCCACTCCTATCTACTCATTTTGATTCTCGTACGTTAGTCCGTTCACTTTTATTTCATGTTCATTCTTTTATTTTCTTTTGTTTTAGATTTTAATATTAACTGGATTTGAACTGTCCACAATTATACTCATTTGCTTACAGGGAATCTGAACATTCGTAGAATACGGAACGTTTTACTGCTTGACTATTTACCTGTAGGCTTTTAAATTCTAAACTATGAATATGCTCAAAATACCAAATACTGCACTGTTATTTTTCGACTATTTTTCAACCGGAACCTTCTTCATACTCTTGATTTACCTCTTTACCAGACTTTGTACACACTTGCTTCATTTTCCGTCACTAAATTGTCATTTAGATGTGATAATTTATCAAAGCCGTGCCGTTATCATTTTTCTTGTAGTATTTATATACTTCGTTGGTGTTTTGACATGCAAAATAAACGATAAATTTTTGGTCTATACAATGCTGAGGAATAGAAGACGGTTAAATACTCTGTTATATACACTTGTCCTTTTCACTTTCGCCCTATGCTCATTGTGTTCAGTTATATTTGTACCGTATACCAGCTTTGCTATATTTCTACTATCCACCTCGGTCTTCTTGTTATTTTCAGACTTGTCTATATTTTTGATTGTACTGGAGGTAAGCTGTTCATTTTCGACTTCAATCACTTTATTTGTAGTACTATTTATTGGAAACTGAATTGTTGAATTATCAACATGCTAAACGCCATTGTTTACTCAGTCATTTATTTTCAAACCAATTATTTGTGGATCATATACTTGGTATGTTTCTAAAAACTTCTTTGTTCAGCATCAGTATCACATCGAAATATGCATACTTGGAAAGTATCTTTAAATCTACTTTGATGGAGCAAATTATATACATTGTGATCATATTTGTTTTCCTACCATCATTTATGAGGATATTTGCGTCATATGCGAAAAGAGTGCGCGGTAAACAGCAAAAGTGCTTAGTATCGAAGTCAGTGATTTTGGACTTTTTCTTTTAACTTTCCGTGTATTTTTTTGGCTTTATTTTGCTTTGATATGTCCAAAAGTTGGTGATCAAAGGATGCTAAACAATTGTTTCAACCTGTATTAGTATCTAACCACTGTAATGATCCATAATAGTTACTCAGTGAACTAAAGCAGTTGGCTCAAATGACGTATCTAGTATTTACAACGCTAATTAAATTGCGATATCGTACAAAGTTACCCGCTTCTGTGACTTATGTTACTATCATTGAAGAGTAGTTAATTATCAGAAGTTTTCAGGACCTCTTTAGTTCACTTACTGATTAACATCAAAGAATAAATTCAGGGTCTGACGTTTCTACGGCTTTCAGTAAAATAGAATGGAATATTTAAAATAACGTTTGTCTAAATTTGAACCAATAGTTTCACAATAGTTGGGCGTCTACATTACGGAGTAGGATTGTATTTGTAAAATCTCAGCAACTGAGTTTTAAGTCAATCCAGTGTTTCGCTCGGTAATCTGGTCCAAGCCTTTACAAGGAAATATAATCAAACATCAAAATTGTCGAAGACAAATAAGTACATGGTTCTCCGGTTAACTGTATTATAAACAGGTCATCTAATCATGTTAACACTGTTGAAAGTAAGAATTTACTGTAATGCGTAGAGAAAGGTGTGTTAAGATAACAGTTGTATTTGTAAGTGGATCTGAGGTAAGAGAAGAAATCTCGCTGTTTACATATCACTTCTTATCGATGAGTTTTCTGATGAAAACAGGGAATTTCTGTCGCTGATACGAGTCAAACACGTTACAGCATGCATTAAATGAAGTTAAATAAGAATAAGAAACGTTTTTGTTATTGTTTCGCCTCTGTTTGAGAAGCTTAAAATATGGTTGTTACTGATGTAATATACGGTCCAGTTGTCTGACTCGTTTTTAGTAGTTGGTCGTTATAGTTTGTATTCAGCCATCTTAGTCAAATCCGATTTTATGTTGCTCTCACGACAGTAAAATGGATTTGTTTTTATTTGTTTACCGTGAGGTATTTTAGTGGATTCTTTCGATAACGTAATTTTTGACGTACATAGAAATATTGAGACCAAAGTTTAGGTCAATAAGTAAATGCCCATGCAATAATTATCACATTTTTCAAAGATTGTTCGTATTGTTCAAAGATTATACAATTGGCAGGTGGAAGTTATGCTAGTCGTTACTGTCTCAATTTTATCGATTAGCTTGTTATTTTATTGTTGTTCATTAAATTTAATTTACCACAAGTTTTATTTAATTTTCGGGAATATCAAGTTTTTATTTCTCTAAAGCTTCATTTTCCTTACGAAAACACCAACCATATGGATATGTACACATTTACGTTTCCAATTTATTGTGTATCTATCCGTAGATATACTGTATACATGACGTTTCAGAATCCGAGCATTCAGGAGTATCGACAATCGAACTCTTGTGTTGACTTCATTCAGCGTTATCTACTATAACTACCTAAAAATCCTTGTTTCATCATATATAATGCATTGATGCACCTTATTATCAACTTGATAATAGCGAACCAACGTCCATTGCTTCGAGAAAATTATTCACTATTTTTTTAAATAAATTGGAAATTTGTTGGAAACTTGCTTTTAATTCTCTGCGAATCGAGCTTAATTCACAGTAACCGATACATCTTTGCACAATATTCTGTGTTGTGTTCGTCTTAAGGTCATTCAATCAGTCAAATTGCATATAAGGATATAATACAGGAAGAAAGAATTAGTTGGTAGAAAGAAAGATATAAAGCGATTTTAATCTCTTAGTTTAAGGGAAGACAGAGAGTGTATACACCTATGCCATTGTGGTCGATTCTGGGTCATGTCACCCAGAGTCTCCAACCATTGGTTACGATAGTCATGTAGACCCCAACCAAGTAGTCTGTATCTACCAACATGGCTGAGACTAAAGGTTATTGACTTCAAGCACTGATGCCACGTTTTGGTTTTGGTTTTGGCCGCCCCTAACCTTCTATCTATCTCCAACATCAGTCAGCATTGCGTTCCGTGGTAATCGGTGTTCAGGCATGCGTAACACGTGGCCCAACCATCACATTCGATGAAGATTCACCTCATCAACTGATTTACCATCATTCCCTAATACCCTGCGTCTAACCTCACTATTACTTACCCGGTGATCCCAGCAGATACGGGCAATATTTCTAGGACATCTGTGGTCAAATACTAGTAACTTACGAGTGTCTTCTATCCTCAGTGGCCATGCTTCGCTGCCGTAAAGTAGAACAGAACGGACTGCCGTGCAGTATACTCGTCCCTTAGTTGATAGACGGATACCTCGCCTTCTCTATAGGTGACGTAAGTTGGCAAAAGCCAAACAAGCCTACTGAATCCGTGCTGAGATTTCGTCAGACACCAACCCATTAGGGCTGATCAAACTTCCAAGATAACTAAAGTTGTCGGCTCGTAGTCCACTGTACTCCCTATCCTCAGTTCAGGTGTTGACGCAGGCCAACCCTGGAGCAACAGTTTGCATTTAGAGGGGGAGAAACGTATACCAAACATCCTGACATTGTTGCTTAGTGCTACCAAGAGGTGCTCTCACACGTTTTTTTATTTCTCACATAATGTGCTCAATATTCTTTTTATCTTCATTTTAGTAAGTGGGTATCCAGCTCAACACGAAAGCGTAGACATTCATACTCATCTGACCACTCTTATGTAGAGTATCGACGTATGAGTATCCACAACCTTTCTGGTTATGATGTCAACCCGAATCGTTCTGATAAGTGTTGGTCTACCACTTTTATGGTATTTGTCAGCTTGATAATACTTCATTTAAATAATCGGTATTCTGAGCGAATTAGTTCTTCCAAGCACAATTCAAGTGAGAATGAAGGTTTTCCTATTTTATATAATATTACTGCTTATGAAGTAACTAGTATCTTCCGTTTCATTTACAATATATTGCACGTTATCAATGTCAATATGGTGGTCTACTTGTTTCTCGGATTGCTATTATTTAAGCGTATCAGATTGAATAAACCTACTAACTCACAATTACATAACTTGAATATCCCTAAAATAAAAGAGACCTTGCTTAGTGACCAAGTAAAGCAGTCTCCAGAATTTTTGAAGAAATTAAATGATGTTCCTCTTCAGTCAAGAAGACGGATATACTGTTTACGTAAAGTAAGTGTTATAGTTTTCACGTTTAATGTACTTGAAAAACAAATGATTTTTTTGTAATTTATTTACATAGAACTAATGCTTATTACAACATTTAATAGGTTTCAGTGATTTGCGAAAATATGTCAACTAAAATTAATTAAACACTGGATGAGCTTGATAATGCCACTAATTTTCATTTTGTAACAATTTCAAATTACCTGCATTGGTTTTCCGGTATGTTTCGGATTTACAGTGACTTCATAGGATATTCTTGATAATAAACTTTTGATAGCGAGATCTTTAATTCAAAATAGGTTATTAAAGGATATCAAATAGATAACCCATTCATCTTTGTCCTTTACAGTTTGTTTAGTTCTCGAATTTGAAACTCCTAACTGTCTGTTTACCAGGGTCTTTTGGTATGGGGTTTGTGAAGACATGATTGAAATTTGATAGTTTGATTCTTAGTATTATGACTAACATTGTCACTACCACTCATGTTAGATCTTTAACGTGGATATCTGACATTACGTATAGGTAGTAATTATCCAATTTAGTTTATACCGTCAGTTTCCCATTTAATTAACTGAACTGTTGGTTGGTTTTATGATTATTTATTATCAGATCCATCAGTTGAAATTTAACTCCTCTTCACTCTTATGAGTTCCTTATTATGAAAACTTTTACAACAAACGACTTATTGTTAGGTAATACCGTAGTAATTGTAGGTGTGGTGTGTGCCACTGATGTCGACAGATATAAGTAGTATGTACCATCAGTCGAAAGTGAGATACCTGGCGGCAGAAGGTTAAGAAGATCTAAGAAAAGAGAACGAGAACAGAATGACTGGTGTGGAAACAAAGGAACAATGAAATCTGAGACATTTGACTGATATTTTAAAAATGAAGTATTTACTGTATGGTTCTCGGATTTAACTAAGAGATTATGTAATTTTGTGTTCAAATACATTCGATTGTTCCCACTTGTGTTCTCGTTAACTATAGTAAGTACTTTTCACCATTTAATGTTGAACTTATCTTTTTACAAATAATTTTCGGTTTATTTTATCAAGTAGGGTCTACAGATTTTCTGATAACCATCGTCTTCTTATTACACTATCGAGATTTTTTATAGTCTGCTATGCCGATAGTACCGGCTTACTACTTTCTAAGCTTCTGTTTCATAATCGACCATATAACAGATCCATTATAATATACTACCATAATAATATGACTTGTGATATTCTAGATATATAAGAATCAGATATTAATTGCTTCAAAATTTGACAAAAGACGATCAATACTCAGTTTTGAGTTTTTTATTCATCGGATTCTACTGATATATCGCTTTAGCAGTTTCACTCATTCTGATAGTTTTATTTGCAACAATCGATCCACATATTTTATGATCTTATTACTGAGAAAGGATAAAATGATTTACATCATACGACATAAGTGAAATAGTGTATTTGTAATGCACGAAAACATAGGTGGGGACAACCGATTTGTTTTAATACAAAGTTACAGAGTATCTGGGTAAAATATAAGAGCCATATAATGAATACTTCATTTGCAAGTTTCCATCATTTGTCCTTCACATTCTGTACGATTCTTCAAGTTTACAATTCCTTTTCATTTCCTCTTCTATTCTCAACTCAATCTTCTTAGCATTCTGATGCCAGGTTTTCCACTTCCTATTGGTGTTACGTACTACTTCTATCGACAGACATATATAGCATACACCACACATTGACCATTTGAATTACTATTGGTATTATCATTATTATTATAAACTTCTTCACCAGGTACTTGGGTACAAGCTAATGATTCTTCCCGGTTGTGGGGTGGAGTTCGAACCTGGGACTAGGTGAATGGAAGTTGAGCACCTTATTCACTAAGTTACTTTGCAGTGATGTAAAAAGAAAAAAGTCTAACAACTTAATAGACTTTTATGTGAAAAGTTTATGTTTATCCGCGAAAATTAGCACATATTACATACCAGATATGCACTTTACGAAACTGAAACAATGTTTTTGTCAGAGTTTTCGCTAAAACAGTATTCTATTTTTCCTTGGTAAGTTTGGATGATCCCGCTTTTTGTATTAAGCAGAGGGTGGGATTTCTCATATTCGATAAAAGAGGGAATAGTAAAATTAGGATTTTGTTTGGAATTTGTAAAGTGGTTTAAACGTATTGAAAAAATGATCGAAAGAGCAGAAACTATTAGTAAGAAGTAGTCAGTGGTATCACTCATAATCCTATTCATTCCCATCTAATTTTCACTATTTTATGAATTGTAGTCGTATAAATCACTCTATGCTCATTTTAAGTCGTGAACAAGTGAATGAAAGCCATTACCATAATTCATAGTATATTTTACAGGGTTATATCAATAATACATTGATTGTAGTTGGAAAACTGATTATTCGACATATTAAGGAAGTAACATTCACTTATTAACTCTGCTTCCCAGTTCACGCTTTATTCTACCAGCCGAACTCAGCTTTCCAGAACCAATTTATAGCAATCTGCCTATCATAACAATGTATACAGTAGGCTTTAATCTTATTGAGATTCAGTTTAGTGAATCGAAGCTGCATATATAGTATAGTTTTAAAATATTAACTAATCTCTGGCTACTTGGGGAAGTAGTCGGTAAGCAATAATTACACAGGTTCCTTCATTTTATTCAGGATACTCGAAATTCGCGATGATGGCGTCTATTAATTAAGTAGTAAAAAGTGGTTTCGCCAATAATAAATCTTTCATCAACTACTGGCTACTTTGTGAACAATACCATACTCACTGAAGTTTGTAAATCATAAACTTATCTAGACACTCGGCCATATGACATCATTATATGTTATTGTTGTCTTTAAACGACATGAGACTGATCAGGTAACCCATTGATTATAGATCCCCGAGTTCGTTTATATAAGCTTCAGTCGTAAATAACAAATGAGAACGAAGTAGTACATCATGGTAAAACTTCTTAATTACATTTCAGGACGACGACTATATCGATAAAAACGATTCCTCGTCTGTTTCTACATTTTCTAATACGTATAAGAATGTAAATGAACGCCCATCCAATGTATTGGACTTGGATATGTTGACTGAAAAGATTAAGCAGGTAAACACGTATACTCACGTATTTTAATATATATATATATATATATATATATATATATATATATATATATATATATATATATATATATATATATAGGATTTGCTTTCTTATTTGTCCCTTAAATTCATGGACTATTAACTTCCATTAAATTATAGTTGTGGTAATAACTTCCGAATTCCACTATATTTCTTGAAGTTTTGTCCATATTCTTCATCTTCGTTATTTCCCACTACAAAACCAACGAAAGATCCTCTCAGATTTTGTTGTGAATCCAAAAACTAATTTTCCTCTTATATCATTGGGTCCCGTGTGACCTGGTTGTTTAGCAATAGAAGCAGATGCTTGTCAGATCTGGAATTGTGTAACTTTGTTCAGTTCAAACCAGTGGTCTTTGCTCAACGACAGTGAGTAACGACCGAAATATCTTGATTATTGGTCTATGAGCTCTTTCCAACCTCGATGTTTAATTACAGATCAAAAACACCAAGTTTCTATGATTCTCTATTATCTACTGTTTATTATGAGTCGATTCATACGACAATATACAATACTATACACCAACACAAATAAGGTAAAACATATCTATTAACAGTTTATGTGTCAAACGAAAGCATACAATTAAAGGAATATAAAACGAGGCACCACTCCAAGCATTTAATAGTCATACAATAATAATATGTCTAACAGTCCATGTTGGCGGGATATAAATGAGATTAAAGCACTTTCGTGCGGGATTGTGTTGGGGCACATTGATTGGCTATTTCTCAACCAGTCAGCGTTAGTGGAGACTTGGAGAAGACTAGAATATTCTTAGATGAAAATTGTAAATACACTAACGTTCTTATTGTGATTCCTCCTTCCATTCAACGTTTTTATTAGAAATATAATTACGTCCCTGTTCAACCGTGTTCTGATTTGGGGACTTGTCGAGTGAAGTATTGTTCAAGAATACTAAGCAATAAGAATAGCTGGGTCGAAATGAGAGGAATTATAACAGTGGAGACGAGGAAAAAAGAAAGTACACTTAAGATGCGCAACATGGTGCACGAATGCGGATGTTGGAAACTATGACGCAATAGCTTAGCATCCACTGCTCGAGTTCACACTGTTTCAAGTACTTATTGTGATGCAGTTGCCAGCAGCATCCCAGAATTCATCTGTGACCACGAAAGAGAAAATACCTTCCTCACGTGGTTCAAGCGTTGGGAAGATACATTTAGAATAGAGTTTTGTAAGCAATACGACTCGATTGTTGATTAGTAATTCGGGAAGTAATGAATATGTACGCTACGCAGACCATATATTGCCAAAGTTACCTCTAGAGCTCAATTTCGAGGAGACAGTAACTAAATTGTAAGATATTCGGCGAATCATCTTCATTGTTTAGTATTCGATATCAGTGTTTAAATTTGGTGAAACGCGAAGGCGATGAATATGGTGCTCTAGCAGATGTCAACGTTCAAGTCACGCTCATTGATGGAAGATCAATTTAAATGCCTAGTATTCATCAAAGCTCCTCAGTCACCACAAGGTGCTGAGATTAGGACTCGACTTTTAACTCGACTAGATCAAGATCCAAACATTACCAGTTCCTGAAGACTTGTTTGCTAAGCTTAATGGTGGAACATGTTTCGCGAAAATAGACTTCTCCGATGCCTATTTGCGAGTGGAAGTAGATAATGATTGTAGAGAACTTCTGACTATCAACACTCATCAAAGGTAAAAAGTAACATCCACACCAAGGTCTGAAATCAGTCTGGTTTTCTCAGGTTTGCATTTCTAGAGCTCTAGTTAGACGTCGATGTTATTGAAGTTAATAATCCTGACACTATGTATTTCGCCTATCTCCTGGATTGAGAGTGAATAATAGTCACGTCTTTTACCGAGACAGTTCCACTAGAAGCAGGATTTTTAACACCCGCCTCCTTGATAAGTTTCAAAAATTGTTTACTGCTTATTATGGTTTCTGCTCTATCCATCTCTTCCGCTTTCTCTATTCATTACTGCTCACGATCATTGCGTGGGCTTTTTATGAGCTCGCATTTAAGCTGTTGCCGCACCTCATCATGTTTGAAGCCAGACGGGATGAGTTTCCGAGCGTCTGTCAGTTCGGTAGCCGCCGCTGAATTCCACTTTTTTTCTTGACTTTTTCGTCTAAGTTACTGGTAGATATCACTGCTGTTTCCGAAGGTTTTTGGATATCATACTAAGGTATCTTGGTATGAATGTCACTTTGATGGTTGATCGACTCCTCTAGTTGTTCCAGAAATATCTTATTAACTTTTCAATCAACCCCATTAGATTTTGTTGTCATGGCTTTTCTGGGCCCAATAAGATGCAGATAAATACGTGCTTGAACTAGAGCATAATCTGAGTCTAAACATGTGTTCCAAAATGATCGACAGTCTACTATCGAACCTCCCCAACGATGTTTGATGGCAATGTTGTCCATTTGAGACCATCGTTGAATGGATTGTTTGGGTTGCCACGTCAAACGTTGTTTTTCCTTATGCTTAAAGTTGGCGCTTGCTAAAACTAGACGGTTATCCGGGCATATTACGTCAGATGGTCTCCATTTTCTGTTTACTGAGCCGCAACACCGTTAAACTCACCCAAGTGCTTTATTGATTGGTTTATTCTATCTACTTGAGCATTCAAATCACTCACAATTATACGACATCAGAGTGTTTAGCTGTTTGAATGTTGGATGGCTTCCCATAAAATTCATTTTTAATTTCATCCCAGCTGCATTCAGTGGGAACGTAGATACCGAAGAGGCAACGGAATGTGTCTCTATCTCTTCGAATTTTTACTGTCCCATTTAGTTGAACGGCACTCAGGCGATTGTCTATTAGAATCCGGTCTAGGAGAACTTGTTCTTTAGAACTTAATTCTATACCCACAACAGCGAGCTCACTGGAAATACCAGTGGGGTCTCCAGATACTCGAGGAGTAAACCGTGCCGGTTCTTTATATTGTTAAGGTGATGTCAAATGAATAACCGTACCTATACCTTGTATGCGCGTTTCTGAGACACAGCGTACATCGATGGCTCGTGATTCTGGAGTCCTAGCTAAGTAAACCTTTTTTTCTGAACGTTAAGACTCCGACATGTAGTTTAGAGCGTGGTTTTAAGAGACCAGCAATAACATTTAATGGACTGAAGTCATTAGCATTGGTGGCGCGTGGTGATAAAGAATACAGTTGTTACCTTGGACCCAGCTGGATGACTTGGATGTCATAGATGACCTTGCCCTTCTATCCTTTACACAGAAACAAGTGCAGACGAAAACAGCCAGTATGTCACCAACTTTTAAAGCACTATCCCTCAGAAAGCAAGATTCTAAAATACAGCACAGTGAGGACCAAATAAATCGAATTTGATGAATAAACTCTGTAACTAGTGATAGTTTTTAATTTCATGGCCAGGATTGCCGATGAGATAGGAGGATCTGGTACAGATATGAAAGGAAGGATTGGAAAAGTAAGTGGAACATTGATGCGATCAAAGAATATATGTAACTCAAAACAACTGTCAGCGAATACCGGAGTCAGAAATCTTAATATACGTTAATACAATACAATTTTATGGAGCAGAAACTTGTAGAGATGCTAAAACTATTATCAAAAAGGTACAGGTATTTATAAACAATTGTCTACACAAGATAACCCAGATCCATTGGTCAGACACTATCGACAATAACCTACTGTGGAAGGGAAAAAACCAGCTTCCAACTGAAGAAGAAATTAGGAAAAGACGATGGAGGTGAGTGGGACACATTGTAGAGATCATCGAAATGCATCACGAAGCAAACCCTAACTTGTAATCCTGGATGCGGGTTTCAGAGACGCCGTATACATCGATGCTGCGAGATTTTAGAGTCCTAGCTAAACAAACTTGTCCTGTCTGACAAGTTTTCACGTTTTTATCATATCTCGTCGTTAATTTGTTACGCCTGGTCTTCACTGATTATTATGGTTTTTTCTCCCAAAATTCCCGCCGCCAGTTTGTTATGTAATCGATTATCACTTATACCTATAAAACAAGAAACCACTGCGATTGCCACGACGCGAAAGTAAGAACACCCAGATCGATAAAAGTAAATATTTATTAACCCCAAAACACGACGACGACCCTAGTCGAAAATACACTCATTTTGATAAAATCACATATATGTAAAATACTTAGGTTTAAAAAATCGTATTCTACATGACATGCTTACCATAGTTCATGTTAATTTAATACAAGAATATTGTATGTTATACAGAATAAAATATCACACAGGAAAACAGAAACAAATACTACAGATTGAATTAAAATGGAAGTAATGTTGAACAAAAATCATGATGAGTAAATCAATCTAATTTTGACTTTTCATTCCGTCATATCACTTTTCTTCTTAATTCTTGTTAATATTGTTTGATCAATCATTTGCATCATACTTATTTCGGTAATTTTTTTGTCTCTCACCATTCTTTCGTTTTTACTGCTCATAAAAATATCTCAGAAAGTTCTTTAATATATGGTGAGCACATTTCTAATTGACATAATGATAACCTACTTGGCCATCTTACTGTTTACTTGGAGTCATTAATTACGCTTCCTACGTGCGAGGTCGCGGATATGCACTGTTGAAGAGTCCCATACAACGGTGAAACTGCCGCCCATATCTTCCAGGTCTATCTTAGACCATTTCATGATCTCACTTGTGAAAATACTACAACCTTCACAAATACCTTGTGCTTATATACTAGTATGGTCGTATATGGAGTTGCTGGTAACCCAAAGGACTTGGTAATCACTTCTATGACCTCGGAACTGAATAATCTTGATCCATCAGTTATGGGGATAAAATTGTAGTGATAAGTTTCATTTTTCGATATCTTCGATTTTTCCACTTCTACTTCCCGTAGTTTTATTGTTCTGTCGTCAATAAATTCTTTATTATATATTACTGTATTTAGGGCTTGGGACATGAACTATCAGATACAGAGATTTTACAACTGATATCACATGGAAGGCTTAAAACTCGTGAATTAGAATCAGTCGTTCGCAATCCATTTCGGGCTGTTGAACTCCGTCGTTTAGATTTGTCAACATTTCTTAATAACCCACATATTATTGAACGCATTCCATACAAAGACTATGATTATCGTCTTGTATATGGTCAATGTTGTGAAGAGGTAAGGAAAATCATTTTTATTAGTATACTTCTGTGAGTTAAAAGATTCCTTAATACGGTGGCTTAGTGGTTATAATCGCTTAAATTTTAATCACTGAGTTTCAGATTCAGTCTCTTTTTGATCTACTTACGTCTAGGCAATTGAGTATTCTGATGTATGAAAAGTATGGTTCGAAGATTTACTGCACGAACCTGTACTTGATTACTTATCTAAACTTCATATTTTAAAATAAGTACACCTGATATTTTAATCATGTACGTACAGTTGAACAATAAGTTAACCATAAAGTCAGTTCTTGTGAAAGTTTTTCAGCTTATGTATCCGCTCAAATAAAACTCTGAATAACGTCGGCAGTTTATGTAACCCCTTGATTTCTTTTACTCAGGAACATCCGAATCATGTATAATGAAGAAGACAAATCCAAACTCAAGTTTCCCTTAAAACTATAACTGTGTCCACAAATCAATGTTCAGTCTTATGATCATGTATGACCTCAAGTTTTTGGGATGATCTTGTAAGTTTTTGTGATCAGTAGTAATTGACCCAATGAACAAAAGAATTAGATAAAGAATGTAGAATAACTTGTAGGAAGGTTCCTAATTCGTTGATAGGTGATAATTGATTGATTTTCGTTTTAATTTTATTTTGAAAATTTGTTAACATTTAGCATCCTGGAAAAATTATTCATATTTCATCTGAGTATCTTTCAGATGAAGAATTGTTTAATAATTCTGAAATTGGCTGCAAAATGTATATATTTGACTTATATTCAATGTGTGGAATAAATAATAATGTTGTTGTATTATCTACTTTTAATAAACTGATCTTTTTAATTAAAAATTCAAGGAATGGGACCTATCGCATTCAAATATCATTTATAAACTTTGATGTAAAACAGTGGCTATTTAATTCCAAAATTCTTGTTAGTATTGTTCTAAAATTTAACAAAATACATGAATACTTTTGAATCATCTATAAAGAACGGGGATAAACAGGAAAGGTGTGGATTTGCTTCACAGTTAATATTACTAGGTTACATTTAATGTGAAATTAGTTAGTTTCCAATACACAACAAAGTTTTGGTCTTTTCATGCGATTGAGGTCTCAACAAATGCTATTACTCACTTTTGGTTACTTCTATACACTATTCATAGTAATCTGTTAACAAGTTGGTGAGTTTCCAAAATTTTTCAAATATATTGTTGCACAAGTTGATTTCACAAAATTCTGCTAAATTTTGTCTTCTAAAGTTATCCAAAGGGACGAACTGTTCAATCACGAATGCATTTATGGAATACGGTGGTTCATTTATTCTCCATACATTTCATGCAAAATATATCAGGCAGATTGTTAAAATAAATAAATTGAAACATACTTTAAACAGATCATTATTTAAATAGTGTACAACAGGATGCAAGAAAAAACCAGTCAAGATTTTAGTATTTAGCTTGCGATTCGCTTGTGAAGTTTAATCAATCAAGTCCGTGTTGAGAAAACCAACAGCATGTGTATAATAACGGTAAAAGAAACAAATACTGGTTGCTGTTTACGAGGGGAAAGATAGAACAAATAATCTATCAAATATCTTCACTACTACAATAGGCTCACAACATACCGTTCAGTGATTTGGAAGTATTTGTCATACTCATACGTGTGTTTTACAACCAATGCATTGGTTTTGTTTGATCATATGTGATCCTATGTCAACTGTTAATCCTTAAAATAATACTTTTCAAGTTATTTATGTCGCTTCACATTTTAATATGGCAGATTTTTTATCGTTTCAGTTTTCTAACTCCTAAATCTAAAAATTCCTCAGTATCATTTATTTTTTTTAAAAAGTAGCTTTCTCAAGAATATCGTAATTATGTATCAACTTTGATGTATGCAACACCATTGTACACTACATATGTATATATGAAGGAAATCACGAGGTATAAAACTCACTAACGATTTCGAGTGTAATCAGTGTGTTGTCACATTCTCCACATTGATTAGTCGTTCATGTTTAAAAGTATGACTAAAGTTGATGAGTTGTAAAACGTTTACATAAACTTGCTCTTTGGAATACTCGAAATCATATTTTCATCGTAAGAGATCCACACTCTTTTCTTTGTAATTGCAAACGCCCTAATAATTTACGATGTACTTTTGGAAACCAGAATAAGCACTAATATTGGGTTTAACATTTTCTATTTTATTTTTGCACTTAGAAGTATGTTATGATAGAATAGATACTCACCTTTCAAACTACGGGTTATCAGTCCTATCAACTATGTTCATTGTGATATGGACAACTTATTTTTATCTCCACCAATACAAGTGGTTTTCTACCTAATTCAAAAATCTTAAATTTATATATTTTGGTCTGTTAAAATCCAGGTTATCGGGTACATGCCTATACCAGTTGGAAAAATTGGACCTCTTCTACTGGATGGTCGTTCTCATTACATTCCTTTGGCTACAACTGAAGGATGCTTGGTAGCCAGCACAAATCGGGGATGTCGTGCAATTTTTTTAGCTGGTGGTATCAAAAGTGTTGTCTATAGGTAAACTTGAAATTGTTCACTTTTGATCTATGTTTGGGTATTCAGTTCATAATATGTAAACCTTGTTTGTTGTTAGCTATTTGAATACTTTCATCGGGATCCCTCCCACCTTAGTGTTATGCTTGGGATTACTCGTGATGAAGGAGGATTGATTCACAACTTAAGAGAAATTCTCCCAATCCCTGAGACTGGGATCTGTGCCTTTTATCAATGAAAGATTTTACTTCGGCTACTCGTTTACTCTCTAAAGTGATATGTACTCTTGTATACGACCACTCATTTCCAATTAGTTTGAATCGTATTTAATTGAGGGAATTATTCGAAGCGTATCAATGGGTAGTACATTTAACCTTAAATCTAACCAGTTTATTGAATCGGTCGTCAGTAGAATTTAGGATGCACGTTCTTTTCTGTTTAGAACTCATGAGATGGATGAACCTACATCCCAGTGTTGGTGTTCATAATAGGACTCGGACCCCAACGTTACTGAGTCAAAATAATTACTAACTTGTTCAACATGTGTATTATGTTTACATTATTATCAAAATTTTTTAACAAAATCATTATATTAAAGCAATTCGCACAAGATACACATACGCTCTACCAAATACTAATCAAAACAATGTCCTCAATACCAACAAAGGGATAATTTAAACCCTGATTCATAGCGATAACAACCCATTTAGTTATACCTCTGCGTGACCTCTCATATTGGATCTCTTTTATATAAATCAAACACATACTTCATATATTATATTCATATTATTTTAGATTCCATTTAATACTATATTTTAGCAATGATGAATTCAGCAAAATTTAATTTAATTTGCGTTTCATGTTTAAGAAGGCAAGTGTTAGTCAGGATCGTCACAAATTCTCGTTAATTACCATCTACTCTTAGTCATCAACAACCAGTTACTCTTACCTTAACTTTGATCATTTCGAAATACTACAGTGAAACTATTTTGATACTTGATAATTGTATAACATATGCTACTTATGTCAACAGACATAAGTAGCACACATCACCATTCAGAAGTGAAATGCCTGGCAGCAGAAGGTTGAGAAGATGGGATTGAAGAGAACAGGAATGTAAACAGAGAGTAATTGTAATAAAAAGCGGAATGGAGGAATGGCGAAATTTGTAAGAGACAATTTATGGAAGATGTGCAAATGAAGTAATTGATGTATGGTTTTCGTACTTTATGAAGACATGTGAGGTTATATATTTATGCACGTATCACATCTATCAAATATAAATAGATGTTTCAGTAATTATCCGTTTTTATATGTATTATGACGACAAATATGAAGTAATTGAAGGGTTTAATCGATTTGCTTACCAAATAAGATAATCACTAAGGGAATTTTAGTGTGCAAACAGAAGATTTGGATTCTGAATTACACGTCAAATGTGTGTACAACACGAATAAACGCCTACTGTGTTTTTTTAGAAATCCTATACATTTACTTGTTATATTGACTTGGAGGGAAGATAAATGCAAATAACCATTGAGTTTTAAACACTATACTGATTTATACAACTCTGTTTACCATTTATTATTATTTGAACACATAAATATTGATACAAAGAAGCACCGGATACATATGCGCCACACACGTCACTTAATTCGTGTGTAGGCTGTGGTACTGCCCGGGTGCCCAGACCGAACCAGGGAGTTTTCTTACGGGGCCACGCTCGGAGCCTTCGACTTAATCCACAAGGCAGTGGAGCAACGGAAGGAAATGCAGTCCCATGGTAACCGGTGACCAACAATAGGTTCATACGCCATTTGTTCCCTGGAGCCTATGTGCGCTATTATTTGGGAATCAGGGTTTTCCAACACCCTTAGGTGGAACCTCCGTGCTCATCAACCCGGTTAAAGTGCCAGACAATCGCTTTTCTTCCTCTCAATTTCGTAAACGACAACCCCGCCACGAGAAGGCAGTGAGTAGGACTTCCCAATCAGTGGCTGTATACGCATAGTCATATAAGAGCGTTTGGAGAGGGAGAGCTAACTCTCCCCAACCTTGGCCGTATCAGGGCATTTGGAGGCTTTAGGCTATCCATGTATAGTACGGGTTGATAAGTGTCTGTCGTTTGATAGAAACAAATGCAGTGATTTTGAATATATAACCGAATGGTCGATAATGAAGTTGTCAAACAACTAAGCCATCACCTCACACCTACTTTTTACAGTCTCTGAATATTAGTACGAACGGCTTAATTATTATCTAAATTTCTGTGATCTATGGGGTAAACTCTTTTGAATTAATTCTACTTATTTTCTTTCCTACTCTATTTGACAAACTGGTTTCTTCATTTTAATCATATGTGACTCAGTTAGTCTCATCTACACAAATGAAAAGATTGATACCATAAGTAGTGAATGACAAACGTAAGTAAATTAGTTGAAAGTGTCTTTACAATTTGGTTGGGTCTAGAATGAGAATAGATAGACAATGCTCCTAATACTACGATGCTAGTTCTAAATTGAATAGATAGACTGACGACCTATATATAACAAAGTATCAGCAAGCATAACTACACTCAAATAAGAGGAAAGGGTAAAGTTCCAAAAGAGCTTTTACGCTTCTAGAAAAGACAGTGAAGTCAGCAAACATTATAGTGTATCCAATAATTCGTAACACAAAATAACCAATAGAAATAGGCGTGAATCACGTGACGTTACCACATTACACATTGTGAACAACTCCAAGAGAGATTAAGATTGCATTGATTTGGGTCAACTCCAGCAAAAAGGGATTTAATAAGGTTTATAGAAAGCTAACAGTTTGGTACATCTCGATTCTAACTATAGTATCGAATCATCATTTTCATTTGTCTCGCAAACGCTAACCGTGAAATCTATGTTACGTCTCAAATCAACAGCTTGTTGTACTGAGCATATAGTATTGAACAAAGCCATAAATAATAATAACAATGATCTACCTGCCCTTAACTATTTTTCAAACTATTTCCAATCTAACCAACATCAAACTTCGCGTTAGATGGTATGGTATGCGCTTCTTACACGGACAGTATAAGTAGTGTGTACTAGGAATAGAAAGTGGAATGTTTACTAGCAAAAGATTGAAATGAAGAGAACAGAAAGAAAAATTAACAGTAATTGTAGTAACAATACAATTAGAACAATGATGAATTATGTAAAAGACAACTGAAGGAATATGTGCAAATGATCTATTCAATGGATGATCTTCATATTTTACGAAGGCACTTTGTAATTTTGCATATGACAATAAATTGGTCTACCGTACCCGAGTCTCTGTTCACTATAGTAGCAGTTAGATATGCGTATTGGCTGTTTTAACCACCCAGTAAATGGATATTCATGATATTACCAACTGGTACATGTTATCTCTACTACTTCATACTCATCTTTTTCTGCCTCTTTTTGTTTCTTGTTGTAATACTTTTAATTAGCGTAGCAACCTATGCCAAAATTTCAGTCCAATATCCGGGATTCTTTTTTCTGATTGAATATTGTTGAAAAGACTTCACTAAATATGTTTTGAACACATTTAACAAGCTATTCTAGAGTGAATACTCGATAAACCAAGTGCTAATCAGATCATTTGTAACTGTTCTATTTTCAAAGTACTAATGAGATACAAGGGTATTTTTTGAAATAATTATTTATAAATTGACGGGCGCGTCTTACTTGTGTCATAATGGGAGGAGTACTGAAAAGGTTGAAACTTCTGGTACTAGTTTACAGATTATTATTTATGCTTTAACTGTATGATTAGTAAATAACTGCATCGTTGCATTTCAATATTTCCGTCATTGAAAACTTCTAATCGACCTGTCTCTATACGTTTTACTGTTCCTTAATTATTGCCGAATAATTATGTACTATTCGATTCATTCTCTTCCACTTGTGGCATGACTATGTTATGATTTCTTTTTTTGGCTATCCTGGTTGGTTGAGCCAGGTGATTAAAGTATACATATAGTAGTAGCTGACGGCTGAATTCGGACAGGAAATTGAGAAAAATTTACGTATAGCGGACCGACAGGAGTGTAGCTTAAACTGCATCAGGATTAACTGTGTACGTCAGAGCGTATAATTGATTAAGTCTATGACGCTATTCTATAGGCAGAGTAATAGATGTGAGATGGAAAATTTATGAATGGAATTCTGATAGGTGAGTCTAGCATGTGATATGTATTCGCATCTCAAGTCATAAAAATTTCGTCGTAATTAAGTACTGCGATATTGTTATTGTTGATACTCGTAGTAGATTAAGTTTCCTGTTTTGTTTTTCAAAATCTACAGATGGTTCGCACATATATAATATGTATTTCCTGAAGAATGATTCTATACTCTATTTAATTACTACTTTTTTGTTTATACACAACTAACCCTTGATCTTTTTATATATTCAGAGATCAAATGACAAGAGCACCTGTTGTTTGGTTTCCATCAATTATTGATTCAGTGAAATGTATTGCATGGATTGATTCAGATGAAGGATTCCAAATTTTAAAATCAGCTTTCGATAAAACTAGCGCACATGTAAACTTATTATCAGTTTTTGCTTGTCCGGTAAGTAGCTTACTATTAAATTCTAATTTTATTTTACAACTAATTCAGGATTTAGATAATTAAGTAAATTTTGTTGTTTTATAATTGTTCGGAACACTCCATTCGATTTAGACAGTATATAAAAATACTGACATTAGTTGATTTGTTCAACACATCGTCTATTCATTAATGTCCTTAAATATGGTTTACATTCGTCATTTCAGCTATTGGTTTGACTTTGTCACAAGTGTTGCTTTTAATATTAATGGAATTGATGCACTTCAGTTAGATCTAATATTTAAAACAGTTACTCCCTTTGATAAATTTGGATAACGCGATGAGAGGTCAAAGGTTGTCAGAATTATATGATATATTTGCGTAATATATTTCAAACCATCTGACCACACATATGCTTGTTAAAACATTATATATGGAAAATTAAAGGTCAACTCGACAAGTTAAAAGATAAGAGGAAAAAAGATAATAAAGTACGGAATGTGAAAACCACTATGGATTGTAAATCAGTATTATCACGGTGGGTTAAGGGTATGAAAATTTTTTTGAATGCATAAAGGGGGGTTTCAGTTTTCGTATAGCCAAGTATTCAATAAACCTTAGTCTACGCTATTGAACACTTTTGCATAAATCTACGAAGGCTGACTTGATGTCAATCCTATGACCGGTATCAACCAAATGTCCCGCAATGAAGGAAGATATTTGTGTATTCTGTGATCTCATTTGGCCATTAAAATTCATTTGTTTTTTTTTCAAACGTTTAGGTATATGTTCAGTCACCCTTACTTGCAGATCATGATTGCTCCTCCGTATGTATGCTCTTCCACGCATGCACTTAAACTGATGAATTCATTAGGATGGAACACAATCCCTTAAGTTCTATTTGAGTTTTTGGTGAAGCATAGACCTTGATTCTTCGATAGTCATGAATTAGGCCGCGTAAAATTTCTTACTGATAGCTAATTTAATTATTGGTTTCATTGTAAAACTATTTAAGTCACCTCTGAATGGTAGGGTAGTATAGACTTTTTTGGTGCCGAAACTGTCGGGTGTCTCATCACATTGTTACCTTTTTAACGCTTCGTTAACTTTAATTAATAACCTTTACTCGTCAATGTTTCCGCTAAGAGCTTTACTTCTCCCTCAACAGTATCGCTAGTACGAATACGCCTGATCCTATTGAATAAGTCCTTTATTAATCCACATTTGTACCGGATTAGACAGTGACTGTGAAAGCTAAGATATCTTCCTGTTCATTTTGACTCTCTATATACAAAACATTTGATAAAACCATCATCTCTTCTACTGATTATTACGTCTTCTCATCACATTATTTAAATTTCTTGATATACTAAATAATCCCCTGTATGACATTGTGGTTGAAATTTTTGAAGGGCTCCAATAGTCGAACAAACTCTTCATTCATCCTGAGGTTTTAGCTGTCGTTCAGTTGATGTCAATCCATGATGAAAACTCTCTAAACCTATGCATTTTACTCATGTATTAGCGCTTACATTTTTGTATGTCTCATTTGTGTTGCTATATGTTTAAACATAAGTTGATCGGTTCCACACTAGTTATATAGTGTTTGTGCGACCGATGAGACTAAATTATTACGTATCGATGGTGAGGAATAATGACTTCCTAATGATAGTTCAGACAACATACCACGCAAAAGTATTTGGTGTTCCATCTGATGAAAGCTAGATTTTAGTTTACTAAACATTTCTGGTTCATATGCTTAAAAATAAACCAACCATCTGTTACAACTATGACCTATCACTTTAAACTAATCCTTATTTTTTTTATTTGAAGAAAGTACAACACCACTTTCGGTTGTATTCATTTTCATATTCTGTCCACTCGTCATGTGATTTCAACAGACATTCTAAAATATCCAAGGAGCTCAAATTTCAACATAATTACACAGAAAAATTTATAGTTAAGTGTGAAAATTCATTGTTGTACCGGAGTTTAAGATTATTGCTGCAAGCGACTAAGTTTCTTTAGCAAAACAGATACCTATCTATAGAACCGTATTTACATATTTGGGCCTTATCCAATTACTATCGTGTATTGAATAAAAGTCTCCATGTCAGTATTTATAGTTCTTTCCCTTTTGTACAGGCTGGTCGATATATTCATATTCGATTTGCTGCACGTACAGGTGATGCTATGGGTATGAATATGGTTAGTAAAGCCACTGACAGTGCTTTGCATTGTCTACAAAAATATTTCAGTAATATGCAAGTAAGTGGGTTTATTATTTTGGTGTTCTATGTCATATACGTACCGACGTTTGATTCTATTATATTACCGCACGAAATTCTATAATTTACTTCCCCAACGATAGTTTTATGTTCTCTAGATCTTAATCTCATATTTATGTTAGAATATAGTATATATGTATTAAAAGGCAGTTAACACAGCAACTAAAAAAAAATAAAATATTGCATATCTTTGTGATGAATACTTTCTATTACCAGTTATGGATCCATAAACTAGTTCTCTGTCATCTCTTCTAAAACTTGCATAATAGCTTACGTGGTCACAGTGCAACTTCTAAGTGTAAGGAATTGTAATTGATGAAGAATGAATTTGCCTATTCATGATTACTTTTGTTTCTAGTTTATTAACTTCTATATGTATAAAATGAAACCTTGATACACTGACACAATCTTGTAAACCTGTATATCATTTGATGGGATTACTAGATTTTCAAATAAGTGCGATAATGAGTCAACCATCGTTTTTTTTCGCGAGATTATCTCTATAATTTGATAGTACAATTTGTGTCATAATAGTTTCGAGTATGATATCTTAAATTATTAATTGTTCTGTGATTACTTTGTACGCTATTTAATTCATCCATGTTGTTCTTTAACTGATGTGTGAATCAATGTAGGTTATCTCTTTAAGTGGAAATATGTGTACAGATAAGAAGCCAGCTACCATAAATACAATTCTTGGTCGTGGTAAATCTGTTATTGCTGAAGCTCATCTATCAGCTGATGTACTGGCTCAAGTGTTACATACCAATGCACAACGATTAGCTCGGTTAACTCATTCCAAAAATTGGATTGGATCTGCAATGGCCGGTTGTCCTGGTATGATGGGATGTAATGCACATGCAGCAAATATTATTGCTGGAATGTTTGCAGCTACGGGACAAGATTTAGCTCAAGTATGTTCAGTGTAATTGATTATTATCTATCTATTCACATTTATACAATATATCCACTTTTGGGAAATACGAAGAATGTTTAAAGTCAAACATTCACTGAGCATCTTAAGAAGTAATCTAAATATTATAACACATAGGCATTGATTATTCCCTTTAGGATATCAAATAAATAGTACGGAATCTTATACAGCATACCCATTTAGATTTATCTTGTGAAATTCAGTGCAAAAATGCAATGATTCATAACCTCTTGGTCTAATCACTCAGATCAAAAGTGAATAATGATCCTGTCTTTTATCTAAGACAGTTCCCTTAACAGCTGCCATTTTAATAGCTATTTCCTTGAGATGTAGGAATAGTTGTTTACTGTTACATATCGCTACTATCTTTGCTATCTGTTTAGCTCTCGTAGCTCGCCATTGTTCAGGATGATTAGATAAACGTTTTGTTAGTCTAAGTTTTAGTTGTCATCTCTCTTCATTGCTTTTCAAGTCCGTGGAGATGAGTTTTTGAGGGTCTATTAATGCAGTAGATGCCACTAGAGTTTACTAGTCTTTCTTAGCCTTTTGATTTAGGTTGTTGGTGGATGTTACTACTGTATTTGTAGCCGTTTAAATAGTAGTAGTTAGTAACAGTACCAATGGTAATAGAAGAGATTAGGCATCGAAGATGCAATCCGAGAAGAAAATATAAATTAGTGAATTAAAAAGTGAAAAATGTTGTAAGGAATCCAGAAGTTCAGGATTTGTGGGAAGAATGAGAATGGATACAGCTACACCATTGCGAACGATTTTGAGCCATATCATTCAATTTTCTTACCATTGTCTAGGATAATCACGTGGACCCTAAACAGGCAGTCTACACCAGTTAACGTAGCTCAGCCCAGTTGTCAATGACTTCATAGACTGATGCCACGTTTTTGTTCGGCCGCCCCTGAGTTTGTTTTAACTAACTACTACACCACACAACATCGCTTGTCAAGGTAGGCGGTGATTGAGTACACGTGACACTTGACTTAGCCTACCAGTTTAGGCGCTGAAACCAACTACAACATCTGAGCGTCTTGGCTTTGATGGAGGTCATAAATTCTCCTGCAAAGCTCATCTTTTACTCCATACGGGCTAAAACAACAAAGAAGGAACAGCGTGTCCCTATTTTTCAGATTCTTTGCTTTACCTTTTTAGACAGACAGCATATAATCGACTACTGACAAGTATCCAGTCAGAAATTGCCTGTTTTTCTTTCAGACTTAGTACATACCTATACCGGCAAGACCACAATAAGTTGGTGTCACTGCTCCAAATATGCGATAGCTATTTTGTGTCGACTCGACATAATGGCTAGGTGAGGTCAAGTGAATGAAGATGTCAACTTCCTGTATACTTACGTCGGCGACACTGTATACACTGATGACATGAGACAGTATAATACACCGGATTTTCAGCGTACGTCAAGTTTGTAGTTGTGATTTCAGGAGTTAAAACGTTGGTAGGGTAATCTGTGTGTCTAAGTCTATTTGAAAATTTGTTGAGATATAGGTTGTATCATGTTCTTTAGTCGTTCTTATCATCTGTAGTAACCCATCTGACTCTTATTTTAATGTATTCCGGGATAATCACATATGTTATTCTTGGACTAGACCCGTTAAATAGTGAACTCAAAAAACGGGATGTAAGAAGCTTGATACTAAATATGTTGGGAACGTTATGTGTTACCAATAGGGTTTCATGAGATCCAACCATGAGGGTGCATTTAGAACAAGAGTAATCGAGTATTCGAAGGATAACTGCATTAATAAATGATGTTCATAATCATACTGGAACTAGCGTCAAGTAGGTAGTAAGTGTATGTTGTAGTAAACATTATATACCTAAGTGTTTTAAGGTTATATGTGTGTTAGTTAACACATAAACAATTAAAAGGCATGTATGGAACAATGCTGGGATTCGAGATCTAGGAGAAGATAAATCGTGAATTCATCTGAGATATTGTAATCGATTCTGAGCTGTCACTCATTCTCCAATCACTGGTCTCTGTTATTGCATAGACACGCAACCAGGTAATCTGAATCAACTAGTGTTTCAGACGCTCAGCCAATGATTTCGTTACACACCAACCCACCAGAGCTGGTGCGACTGCCGAGATAAGTAAAGTGGTCGACGCGTTCAACTACTTGACTCCATATTATTGGTTCACTTGTTGACACACACCAGCCCTGAAGTGAAATTCAGCATGGAATCAATTTGAAATTGATATTGTGTATACCACTCTTTCTCTGATTTACTTACTTTCTGGTTCATATAATTTGATCTACTGAAAATTGAATATTAATGAATCAATATATTGCTATGTGGTCACATTTGCAGTACAATTCTTATCGATTTTCGTACTGATTTAATTTTCCTTCATTAACCTCGTCACATCACTTCCAACTTCTGAATACACGTTCGACTTCTCGAATTCGTGTAAAGGCATCACTACTGATAATACATATTATCGGCTTCTGATAAGCAAAGTTGGTTATATAGCAATAACATCATTAGCGCGAATGAGAGGTGTATGAAACCTATTGTAACCAACTGACGATGGTTGTATCTTTTAGAAATGACCCATACAGTCATCGTTCTGAAATGTGTGGAAGTTGGAAAGTTAGTTGCAGCTATAGGTGATTTGAACTCACACAGTTTGTGGCCTTTAATTTATTTTGATTTTTGGCTGGCTGCCAGTTCTTGCTCATCTGAAAAGTTCCATTGGTGTTCAAAAAAGATACGGTTGGAGTATGAGGATCCACGGATGTGTTTGTCTTTATACAATCGATTATATATATATCCTGTACCACAACATTTACCTTAGCAATGTAGATAAAAATAGAATGCAATGCGAAATTCACGTAACTATGTGAAACTCAGTGAGGTAAGCCAGGCTTATGGTTTTATTGTTGTGCATTGAGAATAAATAAGGCCTAGTTATTCATTAATATCGTTACTAAATTTGATTATTCATTCAGTTATTATTTTCACTGCATGAAGTAGGAGAATTTTCGGTTAGTTCGTAATTGAAATATCATGCATTATGAACTCGCGTTTGTAGGCTTCATAAAGTTTGTAGCATTTTTCATTTCATAGTTGTATTCTCTAGAATTTAAACGTTGACAGGAAGATCTACATTAGTCTGTTTTCCGATTTTTTAGAGACTGTATGGTGTTCTCTAGTCGGACTTACCGCCCATCTGACCCATTTATGCAAAACGTACACATATCAAGGTTTATTTTCGATGAGACATATTTCTTCACATTCATTTACGTTTAAGTGTGCTTAACAAATTTAATTTGCAATATGAATGAGTCACTTAACTTTTATGGTTGTCTATATGAAACTCAGGTCAGTAAATGAAATTCTACAACCCCCCCCCCACAAATGTATTTGCCAAACATCTATTCATCAAAGGGATTGGACATTATTTATTATTTTATTTGAACACATAAATATTGGTACAAGAATACGCCACACAAAACAATGAGAATTTAAAGAGAAGGTAAAGAACAAAAACGAGAGAATAATAACGAAGAGATTGATGTAAGGTGGTGTAATAATAATAACGGCAAAAATGGGGGAATGCAAAGGTACAATCAGAAGAAATCTTTCATTTAAGGAAGACACAACCACTTTTTACGAAGAAAGTAAAATAAGGTTACAGCAGGATCGCCACTGGCTTCTATTCTGAGCCATATCTGATAAAGTCTCTAGCCACTGTGTAGCACCATCTCTTAGACTCCAGCCAGGGAGTTGTGAAGGACCAACACCAGTTAGCCCATTGTAGCTTTCTTTCATACCACAGCACCATGTCATACACTGACCACCTCTCTACTTTTTTCAAACAGTCCCAGAGTCGGCAAATAATGCACGACGTGGAATTCTCTGGGACGACATTCGTAGAACATGTCCTAGCCACCGAAGTCGGTGTTTCAAGATGGTGATACCAATTGCATTATCGTCCCTGTGCCCGAACACACGATGCCGAACCTCTGCATTACTAACATGGTGCTACCACTGGATGTCAGCAATCCTCCAGAGACATCGATGATCAAACACAGAGAGTCGTCTAATATCCTCAACTCGGAGAGGCCAGGCTCCACAAGCATAGAGCAGAACTGCTCTCACCGACGCGTTGTAGATTCGACCTTTTGCAGCCAGACTGACATCACGAAGGCGCCAAAGATGGCCCAGATTGGCATAAGCCACTCTGGCTTTCACTATACGTGCATTGATTTCATCACTCACGCCACCACCAGCACTTATGCGGCTACCCAGATACACGAACTTCTCGACTATTTCTATCTGCTCACCATCCAGACTGAGTATAGGATTAGAATCCTGCCAGTATTGTAGAACTGCTTTGCACTTCGAAGGTGCAAAGCACATACCATACATACGGACACTGATTGCCAACTGATTAAGTGTGGATTGCATGCCTTGGGCATTATCGCAGAGTAAAACATTATCATCCGCATACTCAAGGTCGAGAAGTCTTTCTCGAAGCAACAGATCCACGCCGCCATTACTTACATCCATCAGAGCTGTTTCCAGAATGTCATCGATGGCAAAGTTGAAGAGGAATGGTGAGATTGGGCAACCCTGCCTAACCCCACTGCTCGAATGGAACAATGGAGAGAGGTGGTTGTATGCCCTCACTCTGCCTGAGGTGTTTGTATATAGGGCTTTTAGGATGTTAATAAACTTCTCAGGCACACCCTTCTTCAATAGACAACCCCAGAGAACAGTCCTGTCCGACGAATCGAAGGCAGCCCTGATGTCAAGAAACACTACGATTGTTGGCCTTTGATAAGTATGGCGGTGTTCTAACATTTGGCGAAGGGTGAAGATATGATCAATACATCCTCGACCGGAACGAAACCCAGCCTGCTCCTCGCGAGTCAATCTTTCTCGGGTTTTGAACAATCTACGAAGTATGACGGAAGCCAATACCTTGGACGCAATCGGAAGTAGACTTATCCCCCGATAGTTGTTACAGGAACGACGTGAAGCCTTTTTAGAGATAGGGACAACTACCGATTTATTCCATGACGTTGGTACACTCTCTAGTTCCCAGACATTTGTAAACAACGTCGTCAGTTCCTTAGCTAGAAAGTCACCACCATCTTTAAAAAGAGCCGAAGGTAAGTCATCTGGGCCAGGTGATTTGTAGCGCCTCAAGAGTTGGAGTTCCTTGGGGACTTCCGCCTCATTTGGTGGATAAGTCATCACCGGCCATGGAGGGCAGGGCAGTCTGACCGATGTTGCTGGAGCAGCAGGCCAGTTGAACTGCCCTTCGAAAAATTCTGCCCATCGTCCAAGACGTCGGTGAATGTTGGTGATTGGCATCCCCACATCCTCGCAGATTGTTTCGCTCACACCAGACTTCTTGCTGCCAGTGGCTCGGGTGAGTTGGAAGAACTTCCGGTAGTTACCAGATCCAGCCGCTGCTTCCAGCTCATTAGCACGCTCCGACCAGCAGGCTTCTCGGTCCTTACGCAAGCTTTGCTCAATTTCATTACGTGACATCCTTCGTTTGTGGCCAAACTCACGGTCACCCGGAGTAGACCGACGGGCTTCAATGAGTTGTAAGGAACCAGAATAAATCCATTGCTTATAAGCGGGACGTTTCGTGAAGCCGCAAGCGGCTTTACTCGCCATTTTGATGGTGTCATGAAGTTGCAACCAATGTTCATCTATACTTTTCGGTGGAATGGTAGCTAGCCTAGAAACTAGCCCGATTCGATACTTACTAGCAATAGGAGTTACAACCAACTTGTTGACATTATTCCTTTGAAGGCGGTCACTTCGTTGGCCACTGAAAAGTAAAGTAAGATTGGCGCAGACCAAGGCATGTTCAGAGTCCAGATAGGTACTCCAAAAGGAGCGGCAGTCTTGTACACAACCATGCCAGCGGTAGCTGATCTCGATGTGATCAATCTGAGTCCAGGCTTGGGATGCAGAGGGATGACGCCAGGTGGGACATCGGCGATGACTGTGCCGAAAGTTAGTGCTAGCCAGAAACAGGTTGTGGTCTGTGGACAGTTGCAGTAGACGGTCCCCGTTATCTGTCCTGAGACCAACAAGTCCCCATCGGCCGGCTAAACGACTCTCTTCTGTGCCTAGATGCCCGACCTGAGCATTCAAGTCTCCGGCTAGTACTACAATATCTGTCGAACGCACTCTCTGGAGAAGAACTGCTAACTGGCGGTAGAATTCATCCTTGATTGCATCCGGGCTGCAATCTGTTGGGGCATAGGCTGAGATGACGAAAAGACATCGTTTCTCACTCCGATTTCTTCTCACTTTGACGGAACTCTCTAATCTAACAGCACATAACCGACTGTTAATGGGGATCCAATCGATTAGTGCTGCCTCAGCTCTAGCGCTTAGTCCGACACCAACGCCAGCAAGACCAGACGAAGGTGCCACAGGGTCCCCGGATAAACGCACATAAAACAAGCTTATTGAAGCGACAGGTGGAGAGCGAATTTGTAGTACTTCACCAGAGTCTTAAATACGGGTCTCGGATAGACAGCAAACATCGATATTAAGACTTTCTAAAAACATAGCCAGCCCTATCTGTTGTCCGAGCTGCATGAGTGTGCGAACGTTGAAGGCAGCCAGTTTGAATGATGCACGTGGTTTCATTAAAACTGCTTCAGTACTCATATTCGGTGGTAACATACAATTTTCAACCGGACAGTGACTCGAGAACGTTTAGATACAGTCGAATTTCCACCATGGGCAAGCTGCTGTATAAGTCGAAAAAATAAGTATAGACAGAGTAGGAATAAAAGAGGGTGAATAATGTCGTAGTAAATAATAATAACAATAATAATGATAATAATAATTTGAATTATTTGATTGTTATTTGGAGCGAGAAAAGTAGTTTCCATAGATATAGAGTTCATCATTTTGTGTTGGACATTGATTGAGTGTCAGGACTGCGATGACTTTTCCCGCTCTGAAATAATTTAGCACTTATAAAACAAAAACCTACTTCAACTGTATTCACCCATTTCTTCAGTAGTATCTATGTCGGAATATCATATAGGATATTATCTCGAAGAATCTCAAAATACATATCAAAAAGTTCCTTAACGAATTGTTCTAAATCACCCAACAACTCCATAATTTAGTACGTTTCAAAAATGTTTGACAAGTATTTGGTGAATTTCACGTTGTTTGAGTCTGTAATACTAACAACGTTGGTCACTTTTTAAGTTGCGAAGGTCACGCAAGATATTTTTCGTATATTCAAATTGTCTTTTGTGCTGCTCTATATTAACTTTTAATTACTGACTTCCATGATAATAATGATATTCGAATGACTGAGTTTTGTTTGATATTAATAAGGTTGACGAAGCAGAATCCGCTGGACTGATTCGATTAAATGCGTATTACTAGATGGCATGTGATTATTAAATATTCATACCACCTAGGTTTTTATATATTTTAGTTAAAACAATATTCAGATTTACACTTGACAGAAAACGGTTTAATTCGTTTTTATTGGTTGTTTGAATCTACCCGTTGATGTTGAACATTGCAAATGATCAGTCTCTTTTGGACAAGACAGGCTATATGAACTCATTAGCTAAGTGGTTAACGCGATGGCGTTTGAAGTGAACAGTGCTGGGTTCGAGGCCCCGAGTGTACTTCAACTCTTGGACACAGGTACATCCAGCTGACGAGTTGCAAATAGGACAAAACGAGCGTTCTCGATTTCACTACTAACCACCATCCATCTCTGCTTAGAAAACGGTGTATCCAAATTAGTTTAGAATAATAAGTCAACGATAGAATTTAAATATCGCACATATGATTGGACGCACAACAGTAATTTTTGCAGAATCTTTTGCCTACTAATCAAATAGAAAGTAATATTTGATTATATTTTGATTTGGCTGCAACTTTCACTATTTTTCAATGTATTTCAGTAAATGCTGAGTTGAAGTTAAGATGCAATCAGAAGAACATAACTAACAACCTACTTGGAATGATAATAAAATTTATCAGTTCACAACTCACAATAAATCATCTTCCTTTCAAACATTTACATTGCACTCTTCATAACGCTGATGTCAGTTACTCATATGAGAATAGGTACAAAGTGGTTAATAGCATTGAAAATAGCCTATTTGTGTGTTGTGGTTACTCAAACAAGAATGATTTTTATGGGGGTGATATAGAAAGGCTACTACAACATAGCCTTATTTTCGGGTCAGCTTTTTAACAATCACTTATTGATTGTACTGACTAATCATATAAAACAACATATTAATGATCTAAGACAGATTTATATAGTGTAATGTCAGAATCAATTTTAGTTTGAAAACTGCGACATTTTATAATACAGTACACATTAAATTTATCTGTATCCCCCCAAGTCAGGAAAAAAAAGTCAGAATAAGTAAAATCTAATAATACATTTCCTAATACATATAGTACCTGTTCATTATGATTTTACTTTTTTGTGTTTTTTCTCGAAGGTTGTTGACTCATCATCTTGCTTAACACAATTGGAGGTTGATTTGTCAGATGACTCACTGGTAGCTAGTGTTACTATGCCATGTTTAGAAGTTGGTACAGTCGGTGGTGGTACACGTCTTCCAGGCCAACGTGCATGTCTTGACTTACTGGATTTAAGCGTCGATCGTCCAACTGAACATTTATCACGGATAATTGCTGGAACTGTACTTGCAGCTGAGTTGAGCTTAATGGCAGCCTTAGACACAGATGATTTGGTGAAAGCACATATGCACTTCAATCGAGCCAAGCAATCTACAAACTCTAACCCCTGTAGTCATTCTACTACTGCTGATTATAATAACAATGATAACAATAGTAATATTTACGATAATCATAGCATTGCTTTATCTTCAAAAAGTACTGTTACTGATAATTCAGATGTACGCGAATCTGTTCATTCCATACATGTGAAACCACTTCCTGTTAAAAGTGACTTATCTGTAAATTCGGTGATATCCCATTATACTATGTAACTTGTATATGTAGACAATTTTACTGTCAGTTTACAAAACACCCTTGTATATCATTACTAAGCCCTAGATTAAAGGTTAACAAATAGGTTGTATTCTCGAATCATTTTTAGACGTTTACTTAATTTCCCGTGTTTTTTTCACTTTCTGTTTCCGTACGTTTGATCAAAATAAACAAATTATACTTCAATATTTTATTTGTAAGCTACTCATACTGTTTAAATCATCTACAATTTCGAACATGAAAAGTACACAGTAATCTTAGGTTAAAGCAGCTAAATTTTGATTGTGATTCGTTTCTTCTCAGTTAAAGTGGCGGTGGTAGTGTTGGTGATGAAATTTCAAATTTCTCACAGAATTACCACCATCCGAAAAGGTTTAATTTTGAACGACTCATTACTGCTTTTTCTACCTGGTACTTGATTTATATGTCTATTTAGTGTGTTTTAAAATATCTAACCGTATATCCAATTTGGCAACTTGCATAAACCGAAATGTCAGCCTTAAACTCACGAACTTTTGAATTACTTATTTTCGTATTTTTTTAGTAGTCCACTCATTTTATCTTTCGGATGCGATTCATCAAAAAACGTTCTAATCGATCGACCAAATATTATTTCGAATGGTTATTTACCAGTTTAGGTTCGATGTAATTCTGTGAGAGATTAGGAGCTGCTGTAGGACTTCTTCAACTCTAGCTCTTTTAAAAGAGCTCGTTTGAAAAAATCGAATTTTTATGCCTGCCTATTTGACTGTGTATAGTACTATTTCGGAACTCCGTTAGCTCAGATAGTGTCCCGTAATATGAAACCAGAACATTAGATATTCCAAACTTACCAAAAATTTCCCCGATATGTAATGGGGTTCCAGATGTGGACGGGCTTCGTACAGAATAGATTTCAGGCTGCAAAAAAATTTTGGCCGTTTACTGACGCCGCATAATAGGTATGTATGCAAACACAAGGCTTATTTGTCTCTGTTCGTCGATGGACTTCTGCTTTTCGCGGTTACAGCAGACCAATGACATCTTGATATATGTTTATTTACAGAGAAATCTATGAGTGGCCAATTGAAATATGTGTGCATGTTTGCAAACCTTTTTTAATACCGAGTGATCTGTCTGAGAAGAGAAGATTCAAGAAAGATTTCAGAATGGTAACGCAATTACCAGACATCAAATAAATGTCATAAATTAGGATAGACTCACCCCATAACAGTAATCAAATATGATGTTGATGCATTTTATCGACATTTCCATTCCTTCAGTAAAGTGTCTCATATTCTCATACAGGGAAATATCAATCGTCGCTACTTTTACCACTGCTGTTGTTACTAGTAGGACTCTGACAGCATTACAAAACACTTTATTTCCAGCTTGAGTGATACAGAAGCAGTAACACTTTTACTTGGAGGTCATCTTCAATTAACCGCGACAACTTATGTGCATTTACCATATCAACTATGAGTGGTCAACTGAAATATGTGTGCATGTTTGCAATCATTTTGTTTGTTACCGAGTGATCTGTCTGACCAAAAACGAAGGATATTACGTAAGAAAATTGGGCAAAGCTTACATAGGACTGAGAAGCCTGCTGGTCGAAGCGTGCTAATGAGTTGGAAGCAGCAGCTGCATCTGGTAACTACCGGAAGCTCTTCCAACTCATCCGAGCCACTGGCAGCAGGAAGTCTGGTGTGAGGGAAACAATCTGCGAGGATGAGGGGATGCCAATCACCAACATCCATCGACGTCTTGGACGGTCGGTTGAATTTTTCGAAGGGCAGTTCAACTGGCCTGCTGCTCCGGCAACATCGTTAGTAATGCAGAGGTTCGGCATCGTGTGTTCGGGCACAGGGACGATAATGCAATTGGTATCACCATCTTGAAACACCGACTTCGGTGGCTAGGACATGTTCTACGAATGTCGTCCCAGAGAATTCCACGTCGTGCATTATTTGCCGACTCTGGGACTGTTTGAAAAAAGTAGAGAGGTGGTCAGTGTATGATATGGTGCTGTGGTATGAAAGAAAGCTACAATGGGCTAACTAGTGTTGGTCCTTCACAACTCCCTGGCTGGAGTCTAAGAGATGGTGCTACACAGTGGCTAGAGACTTTATCAGATATGGCTCAGAATAGAAGCCAGTGGCGATCCTGCTGTAACCTTATTTTACTTTCTTCGTAAAAAGTGGTTGTGTCTTCCTTAAATGAAAGATTTCTTCTGATTGTACCTTTGCATTCCCCCATTTTTGCCGTTATTATTATTACACCACCTTACATCAATCTCTTCGTTATTATTCTCTCGTTTTTGTTCTTTACCTTCTCTTTAAATTCTCATTGCTTTGTGTGGCTCATTCTTGTACCAATATTTATGTGTTCAAATAAATAAATACCAACTAACGTCTGATACAGCAGCAAATCGGAATCATATTCTAATAGCATAGTCGCTCTACCGGTCAGTCAACTTACAGTGTTAATAGTTACTGTCTTCCTTGCCAGATATGTTTAGGAGCGACCCATGGTCAGTCTGCAAAGTAAAGCTTCTGTCATAAACGATCCTGCGAAAATTCCGGATTGAAAACATTAGATCTAAAGTATCATTTTCAGTTTGACTGTAATTCTTTTCAGTCTCAGTGAGCGTCCATGAATAATGAAATATAACTTTTTTGACCTATCAGGAAATTTGTGAGAAATTTACCGCTCCAATACCGAAATCGAACATGACAGACGCTACTATTAACCTAAGTTTTAGGTTCTAGTAAGTGAGCAACATGTCACACGTTAAGATCCGTTTTACTTATTCAAAAGACACCTAGCACTTCTTTGTTCAGTTCTATTTAAACGGAGTCTGCAGAAAATGAATAATGGGCACGAAATTGTCATAATATTCAGTCATTCCTAAAAATGGCTGAAGCGTATTCACATAAGATCGTGGCGAGATATTCACCATGACATGTACCTTTTCCAGATCAGCGCTTTGTCCATGGGAATCGATAATAGTTCTCAAATATCGAATACTTAGCAAAAAAAATGAACGCTCTTCTGCCATTATGTGAAAACCATACGCTGTGATACGAGGAGAAACTTGTTAGTATTGATAGCGTTCTTTTCCATTTTTATCGGCAATAATAATAATATATTCCATGGCAAATAATACATCACTTGACATAGTTTCCAAAACTTGCTAAGAATTACTGGAACGCATTTTACACCAAAAGGCAGCCCGTTATATTGAACCAATCCTCGATTCGTCCTTATTGCTAGCAGATGTGCATCCGAGAAATCAATCTTCGAAAATATAGTGAACCCAGTCAGCTTCATTAACAAATCCTCCGAAATAGGTAATGGGTATAGATGGTCCTGTAATGCCTTGTTTAAACCGGCGGATAAATCTTCAAATACTTATTATTTACCATCATCTTTCCATGAAACCACTAGTGTTGTTGTTCAAGCGAAACAATTTAGAGGAGAAATAAACCCAGAACTCAGCAGCCTGTGAAGTTCTACATCTATGGCATCAATAAGGTACTCGTCTCCTTGGGTGGGACAGATTTTGCTCCGTGCTGAAAATATATATGAGGCTCTCCTAAGTATTATCTATTGATTAATCACTGATACCTGTTACCCCTCGTGGAGGAGTATAGGCTGCTCACCGGCATTCTCCATCGAACTCTGTCCTGAGCGATCCTTTTCATGTCTACTTCCGATTCTCGGCTCAGTGTGTTCTTTGGTCTTCCGTTTCTTTTCAGGTTTCCACCCCTCACACACTAGGACAAAATGGCCGTCTAATGCTCCCAAGTTTTCAATTGTGGTCTAACTTAAATTGACTTCTGATTCCAATTCTGAAAACATAATTGTATTCAAGACAGGAATATGATATCCACCAATATAAAAATCAAAGTATTATCTGTTAAATCCTCAAATTAAAGATATTACTTATCAGTTAGTGGTTTTGGTCCCCAAAGCAGAACTTTCAGGATTAAGTACGTTTTATTTCATTTCGAAAATTAAAGCGCGACAATTATTTTATTTTGTCTTTTGACTGCATTGTCATACTTAGACATGATTGAGTAGTTCAGTGAGGATTCTTTATGGTACTTGAAATTTGCTTTGTTGTATGACTTTTTAATTGGATAAAACGAAGGCGAAGTATTGATCTTTTACCCTGTTTCAAAATTTAGTTACTTAACCCCGCTAAGTCATTCAGTGTTTTCCTGTCACTTCACATTCGTCTTAGTAGTAAGCCCTTCTTAGCATCAGATTTTATTCACTTCATGAATAACAGTTTTATAAGAATATTGATTACAGAGGACACTATAACAAAATATGACTTTTGTTAGCTCTAAGTAGCATTAAAGAAATAAGTGTTAATCATGGTGTTAGATCTTTAGGTAGAAATCACAGGATACCCATCGGTTAATGAAGTCGAATAACTGTTATTGAACGACTAGTGATTTTTCGGGCAATGTTAAAAAAATATTTGAATCCCTTTAGTCTCTGAATCATTGTGCTAACATATGGAAAAGTTCTAAGTTGGTATTTATACTAATTGATGATTACTTTGTACTTTATTTCACACTTATTACGAATTCCAAATATAATACGTTCAGTTATGCTTATCTAGTTCTATCTGCCTTAAGTTGGACTTCTCTGGGAATTCCGAGTTAACAAATCAATTTGACTACTTTCAAATCTCATACCTATTCAAGGCATTTTATTGGTAAAATTATTTATCTGGCTTACGATTACTTGCTGTGAAATAAATGGGTCAAAAACATGGGACGTCATCTAGATCAACTAGCAATCAGTGAGTGTATTGTAATCGACTATCCATTTCGGGTCGGATGAATTAGTTACACTTCTAGAGATTAAGACACTCAGTCAGACAATAGGAGTTTTCGTACAAATCCGATAACATTGTCTGATGAAAATCAAAGAAATAAATGTTCAAAATTATCGATAATTTCTAAATAGACTAAATCGAATGAAACTACTTAATTAGGATAAAATGAATAGCTCATATGTGGTTGTAAATAATCTGTAAGTAATATACAACATTCTAACTAATACACGTTCATGTAATCAGCATTGAATTATATTTTTTATATGAGACCAGGTAATACTACCCGGCTGACAAACGAAAATAGATGGAATGGATTTGAGAAATGTCACTTCTGGTGATTGTGGGTGAGT